GCAGCCACTTGGAAGGAATTTCTGGGATAATACATTTGATTTAACATAATGCCTGTGAGCCCAATGCGTGGATTGGGATCTCCTTGTGCTAAATATGTTGGAAGAAAAAATGGTCTCTACTCTTTGTATCTCAGTGGGAGGTCTCAAATGAGTAGTAGTAGAGGGATGAATACCCGAAAGCCGTGGTAGGAGCTTAGTGCAGTCAGCTTTCAGTTGCCACCTGTTGCTTGTCCCAGCTACATTGTGCCACAGATGCAGAAGCCTCTTACAGGCACCTGGCGTGGCAGGTCCTGCACCATGCTCCCTGGACCATGAGGGGTTGAGGAGCACAGTGGAAGGGCATCTACTTGCTCTGAATCCGGTCATGAATCATCAGGTGAGAACTGATCCATCCAGGTTTATTAGCTTCAGGTCAGTGCTGGCCGTGACATACCTGCATCGCTTCCAATAGAGAAATTCCTGCATTGCTATAATGTCCTTCCTATGTCTTAGGTTCTCAGGGATTTGTTAGTTTAGTTACCCTGTTTGATGACCAGACAATAGATTGTGATCTCAGCAGTGTAATTTCTGTTCAGTATTTATAGTTTTTTCATCGTTTCCTTTTGTATTTTAGAGGTGTCATGGAAAAGGAGAGATATAAGAGGAATTTGAGAAGGTCAGTCAGGTAACTAAGTGGGTATTTGTGGAGTGTCCCTTCAAGTAGGAACGGTGGCATGGGAGAAAACATGAAAATGCATGACTGCATATTTGACAAGCTGATATTGGGGAGGGGACATAGTACCCTGATATTAGATAAGGGATGAATGGACTCCAATTAGGCTGTGAACATTTTTGACAGTGAGAGTGATTTTTGTTGTTGGTGGTGATGTTGTTGTCGTAGTAAAAAGAAAAACAGCTTAGAGAATCCAGAGATGAGAGTTTTGTGAAAAGAGCATCATTCACAGCCGCATTCACATTGGATAGTTTCATTCACAAGGCAGGACTGCGTTTAAAGTCAGAAAGGAGAACGTTGTGATGACTAAGGCATGATACAAGGTAAAAGTCTACCTGTGTGTATGGATTTTAGAGCTGATAGGCAAAAAGAGTCTTTAGATGTAATCAGATTGCACCTGGGAGAGAACAGAATTAAAGATGACAACTATTTTATGTAAGTGATGAGTAATTTGGGGATGGCTCCCTAGTGATGTAAAACAGATGTAAACATTAAAAGGCATGAAAAAGAAAGGAATGCTATGCATGGTAAGGTAACAAATTCTGGATGCTGTTTGGTGAATGAACATTGCAGTAATAGAATACAAGGTTCAATCTTTAAACTTGAGAGGTCGTGAGGGGACCACTAATTGTTATTCCACTTAATATCATAAAAGCCAATGATGTTCAGCTTGTCTACAATAGTCATAAATGGCAGTTGGAAAATACCTCAGAATGTGAGTGTGTGTATATGTATGTGTGTATATATACATGTATATGTACACTGTGTGTTTTTGTGTATGTACATATATACACATATGTGTATACATATCATATATATATATAGAAAGAGACCAAAACATTTATGGGAGAAGCAAACTTACATAGGTGGAAAAGTTGACAAGCTTTTAAGCATACAGCTTCTTAATCTGCTGAAGGGCTTCTGTACCTTTCCAACTCTGTCACTTGGCCTAATAAAAAATATTCCTTCTCTTTTAGACCATGTGGATTCCTAGACAATCTTGGCTATGACAGTGTTGTTTCCACAACATGTATTTGATCAAAATAGCAAGCAGGAGGGAACCCAGATTAATCCATTTTGATTTTCATTTACCTAATGGAAGATACTCCTCTCCCCACTAAAATAAAGATCGTAATACATGGTCTAATTACATAAGGCTGTTTTCCTTTATGCTGCCAACTTTTTTTTCTTTGTGTAACCAAATGTGGCAAGAATTCGAGAAAAGAGTTATTTCCCTAGTGGTACAGAACTGGCACGGAGATTTTGTGTGAGCTTTTACTACTATTAAAATATATAAGACTAAGGTAAGCTAAAGTCTTTTGGGAGTGGTTGACCTTTCTTCTCTAACTGTCAGCTTATGTTCAGTCTAAACCTAAACTGTATCTCTCCTTTTCCTAGTCTTGTACGTCCTCTTTCTTTGCCTGCCTGCCCCTTGACCTGCCACCTCTCCCACATGGAACTGAGGGATGTTGCATCCCTGTAATATATTTCTCTTCCTTTTTTTTCCCTCTCTGGAGTAATTTGTACTCTCTCTTAAGAAAGCAGACAGGGTAGATGAACAAGTTTGCTCTGTAGTGTGCAAGTCTGAAGAAAGATGGTAAATTTTTGGGTCAGGCATTGGGGTAAATTTACGAAAATTGAGTCATTGACTGGGTTGATGCAGTTACATTGGAGAAATCAAAGGGGTAACTGTCCCCTTGAGGAAAGGGGAATTGTATTGTCCCCCAGGCTTTTGAAACAGAACTTAAGGCAGAGGCGTTACTGCTGCAGTTCTGATCATCTTTATCAGCTTGTAATAAGTTAGTTGCTCAGAAATTCTTTCTGCTAGTTTGTGCTTATAAAAAAATAAGTGCTATTGCAATGCTCTGTGTATTTACGTGTGTGCGCACGTGCGTATGTTTACATGAGTAAGAGATTCTCTAGTGCTTACCTGTAACTTAAAATATAAACCCAAAATAAAAAAGGATGTGCAGCCATTGCTATTATATTGCTATTCTCAGTTATTATCAGTGTCTCAAAGATTTTTCTATTTGACTGAAACATGGGGTGTTCCTTTTTTCTGAAAGTTTCACCACATGCAGCTTTTATGGTAGAAAAATCAGTAGTAGGAAAAGCAGAGGAGAATTCTGCCTTCTCTCCTGCTTTCTCCTAACCCCATCCCAAAGCCATGCTCTTTCAATGGCATTTCTTTCTAATGTGTGTGAGCTTGTGTGCTTTGATCTATGGAAGTGTGGACATGGATCTATGGAAGATCTATGGAAGGATGACATGGGCATGATTTCACTGGTCACATCTGTTTCAAACGATCTGTTCTGCTGCAGTTCAGCAAGTAGCAGTCCATACCGAGATTGTTGCTTTCTTTTTTCTCCCAACTTAAACACCTATGTCATTCCATTTACCATTTAAGTTGTGAGAATATGAAGAGTATGAAATGTGCTACTAATTGGGTAACTAAAATCAAGGCTGCCTGTGTAACCTTGGTTCTTCCTTGTTAAATGTATGCCTTGCATGGCCAAATTTCTCTCTCAAAACATAGATGTTCAGCGTGAACACCTGTGTAATTGAAAGCGAAACTTTGTCCACAGTATTTAGTTACATGACATTTTTTCCTCCCAAGGGGTCCCTGATAGATCAGTGCTCATGACAGATAACATTCAGTGAATGAGGCAGCTGCTTAATTTTTGTCATTGCTGTTCACTGCACAGTCCCTCTGAAACCCTGTATGTTGCAAATTCTTCCATTAGTAAAAACTGCATTCTTTTCCTGGAAGTCCTTTTTGGCATACTTGAAAGTCTCACAAATTTGAATTAACGTACTGGGAAGTGTTATATCTATTCACTGGATGAGGAATTGAGACCTAGCGATCTTCCCCAATCAGGAAAGAAATCTCCATCAGAACCAATCTCCATCAGTTCCAGTTGGAACTTAAAAGTAGTGTAGACCAGCTTATTCACTTCAAATCTGACCTTTTTATCTTCGATCGTGACTTGACTTGGTTCAACCAGGCCATCTCCTGCCACTCAGGTTCTGTACACAAACTAATTTCACATGCTTTGTAGACTGTGAAAGGAGTAAGGCAAGAATCCCGAAGAAGCAAATTGTATCTGATCATGTAATCTGATTGTGTTAATCCTGTACATCACTCAGACTTAACTATAAGTTACTTCCAACATTTCCTTTTTTTTCTTTTTTTTTGGTGTAACTTGACATAAAGGACTTCTATGGATGTAAGGCTATAATAACAAATATATGATCTAACAAGTTCATTATTTTTTTTTGTTTTTTAAAGTAAGACTATAGTAGTCTTATTTCCAAAATTCCATGGGTTTATGTTGGCCGAGAAAACAATTTCGTAAACTGAAGGAGATACAGCACAGTTCCAATAAATATATTGTTAATGGTTAACGTTCTTGTTAAGAAATCTGTTTCTATAGTAACTGCTGCAGATTGTCACTTCCTCTAGCATTTGGAATAGTACCAAAGTGAATTTAACACGATGCTGCGAGGGACAAATCCTGTGAGAGCTGCAATAGATCACTGCTAGCAGTATGCTTTATTTGGTATCGAGATGTATGAACAACACAGTTCAGTAACCATAGATGGTGTTTAAGAACTGATTCTTCCTACCCTTTATTTTAATGCTCTGTGTGCATTTGCTTTTTCTCCTTCTATACAAAGACTAGTCCTCATTTGAATCTTATAGCAAGGGCACATAAAATACATAGGTATGCTTAAGATTTTAAGTTTAAATGTGTGTGCGTGTATATGCTACTAATTTTTAAATGTCTGTGAAGAGATTCACCACGTGTGATTTTCACTAATAAAGAGGGAGTCAACATGGGGCAAATGCGTATGGCTCAAGCTTTAAAACGAAGCCCAGGTGAGTTTTAAAGGGTATGTTTGTCTTGTCTTGTACTAGCCCTGTGTTTCTTCTCTGAAGCGTAGTGAAGGGAGATTTTTCTTCTGCTTATCGAAGTGCGTATCCTCAGATGAAGTGGATGATTTCAGTGGCTATGTATTCTGTGTCAGTGCACGTTTGTATCTCTTTTTGTTTGTCTTTTGAGTTGAGACTGCACTGAGCAAACTCGTGATCAGGTGGAGGCTGGAACTTTTTTAAGGAGGGGGAAAAGGCTTCAGAGGAGATACATCTTCTTTTTAGCAACCACAGTTTGGGTGCTGGTGTAATTCTGAGAGAAACAGAACTTTGTTTTTGCAAGTTTGTGGATATGCATGCAGTGAACACTTGGAGATGTTACAGAAACTTCCTTCTTGCTTTATTTCTTTCCAGATGGATGAGATAAAAGGCAAAGACAGAGTGATTCTGGCTCTGGAGAAAGACCTCGGTGTCCAGGCAGGCCATACACAGAAACTGCTCCTTCAGAAAGAAGCTTTGGATGAACAGCTTGTCCAAGTGAAGGAGGCAGAACGATACCACAGTAGTCCTAAGAGAGAGCTTCCTGCAGGAGTGGGGGATATCACTGAAATGATGGGAAGCCCGGTAAGAAAATTGTGTTTTCTTCAAATGTTCAACACAGGATAGTTGCTGCCTGGGTGTTCACATTGGTTTTGTGGTTACTTTTAAAATACTAGAAGGACTAATTCATGGTAAATGGCCCTGCACTGCACTGTGCTGTTTCACTGCTGATTTAGAAACTCCTTGGATCTCTCGAATTTCAAAGAATGTTGAAAAATATGTGGATATAGAATTTTTAGAATTTACATTGTGAACTTCAGCTGTGAACCCCATTATTTTCTTAGCTATTTATTTCATAACTTTAGGAATTATTTTAACCAATGGCAAATAGATACTATACTTTTCAAAAACTGTACCATGTGATTTTAATCTGTGTCCTATGCACTAGGTTTTTTTACTTTTAGCTGATAGTAAGAAATCTGGTGAGAAATAATCAATAATAGGTGAAATATTATTTATCTAGCTTTTTTTTTTAAATTGTTAAACCTTTACACACATTTCACAAGTAGACACTTTTCATGTAATATATCATGTAGCATTTTCACAGGATGTTATTGTTCAGTGTTTCAGTTAATTAAAATCAGTTTTCCAGACATTGGTGTAAAGAGTTTATTTTAAATTTACACAATCCACTTGCTAAACCATGATATTAAGTTTATGGATAGTAAAATATTTTTTAAAAAGTAATTTTATATATCTATATGTTTTTGATGTAAAGGAGCAGCATTTGGATGAACGAGATGTGCGGAGATTTCAGTTAAAAATTGCTGAACTGAATGCTGTAATAAGGAAGCTGGAAGACAGAAATACTCTCTTAGCAGATGAAAGAAATGAACTGGTAAATTAATTAGTAATAACACAGATGGTGACTGGGAGGGCATCTTTATGGTAAAAGATTTAATGTTGGAAAGTCAGTATTATAAATAATTTACAAATCAGTCCTGGTTGGCCTTAATCAATTGTATCTAAATATAACTGAGATTTCTATAGAAATTCACTTTGTGACCATAAAAGACGTGGATGGAATCTCTCTTGTTCCAGAAAAATAAAACTTTATAAATTTATTTTGGGGTCATCGTAATCAAATTGACTGGTAGCTTGCCTGTGGCACTGTGTAATGATGTTGTGTAAAACATGCATAATCTATGCACTTAAATTACTGTATTAATCTTTTTGGAAATTGACATTGGTTTTGTGACATGCTTATGCTAGCTAGGAGTTAAAAAAGCTTTTTTGTGCTGGAGATGAAAAATCTGCCATTTCTCAAGGGAAATCTCTTAAGTCGCTGAAATTATCCTAGGAGAGTGATAGTAACTTACAAAAGAAAGGATATGACAAGAATTTTAAGAATGAATTTTATTAGCCTGCATCACTACTTAATTGCTTGTACTGAGGTTAATGGTAAAACTCCCATTGACTGCAATGGGAGGTCAGTTTTAACAACAGGAATTTTTACACATGTCCTCTTATAATAGCCTAATTCTAGTGGCAGGAGAAAAGATTTTTTCATTCTAATCAGATGGAATTTTTCCCTCATGCAACCTATGTATTTGATTCTAAAATAATGCTATTATGTATGGTGAGGGCAGAAGGGGAGGGCACTCTCGCCACGTGTCAGTCGTATAGATGAGTGAAGCATTGACACGGTCTTCCTTGCTTTGTCAGACTTAGCTCTTCATGTTGACGTATGAAGGCTTTGCTTTATGATAAAAGGACTTTATTTAGTTATGACGTCTCAATGATTATCAGAAGAGCTAATTTTTGAAATTTCCTTCTCCAACACAGAATCATAGAATCATAGAATCATTAAGGTTGGAAAAGACCTCTAAGATCATCAAGTCCAACCGTTAACCCAACACCACCATGCCACATCTTGGCTGACTCTAGATTAGTGAAGTCAGTTGAACAATGCTAGACTCAAATTGGATGAATTGAGAACATAATCGTTTTTTTCTTTAAACTTTTCCTCCTTAAATAGCTGTATAGTCTAAACTGCTCTTTCATATGGCAAAAATTGATTCCTCATTAACAATTTAAGTGTCTTGGGGTAAGAAGAACATGCGTTTTAGCCTGGGTACAGTTCCTGGGTACGTTTTTCCTACTTTGTCCAGATGCTGAGTGTTTGTTGTTTTGGTTTTTTGTTTCCCCACTTTTACTGCTGCAGTTGCTTTTTCTGCTCTATGCTCCCAAGAACATCTTGCCTTTTTTCAAGATTGCATTATATAAAGCCAAGATAATTCAGCCTCCTAATCCTTTCTGTGGACATAAGTCATTCAAAACATCCCTGAAGAATGCTAAAGTACTGCAACATCTATCCTTTAGGGTCCCTCTAAATAGAGGGCATGTATGACTCGGTCAAATACTCTTCTTGGTGCTTGACCTAGAGGCATAAGAAGTATATTTTGGAAAAGATATGGAGAAGGTTTTGTCATATTATGAGACAATATTACATAAAACCAGTAATATCAGTAAGCTCATATGATTAAGCACTGTGAAAAAGTATTTTTCTTCTGAGAATGAAACAGAAAACCAAATACTCAGTGAAGTTATCTCAGGAGAAAGATCTTTTTCTCATTTCCAGTTAAAACTCAGTAAATTGAAAAATCTTTTGATTGGAAAAAATAGATTTTTTTTTTTTACAAACAAAACAGCTCAAGGATTAATGAAATAAAAAGTGAAATATTGAATACACACATGCAAGAAAGGGCAGTAATTAGCTTCACATAATTGTCTAACATCATAAAACCACAGGAACAAAATTGAGCAGCTTGAAAATGTCAGCAGAATGCTGTGCCCTCTGGCTGACTTCCTCATTGCTCTAATTACACATTAGGTATAGGGTTTTTAAAGTAGAGGAGGAAGAGTTTACTCCTACTAAGGGATAGTGAAAACGACTACCCTAGAGACCTAGTTGTTCACAAGAAGCTTATATACAACGAGATTAGTTTATCAAGAAATCAATTTTATGGAGCATTGTAAGTGATTTCCAAGAGCAAAATCTAGTGACGAGATCTAGTGTTTTTGTAGACTGTACAAAAATGCTATTTCTTATTTGTTTGGACTCCTGTAGTTCTTAGTTCAACAGTAGTCTATATCAGATGCCACTTAACAAAAGAATTAAACTTTCTGAATGAAGAAAGAAGGCAAGTGAAAACACACATATTTCTTCTTTCCTACAAGTATAAACTAAAGCACAGCTAACTTAGTTCCTTTGCCATTTGCAGCTGAAACGTTCTCGGGAGACAGAAAGTCAGCTGAAGCCTTTGGTAGAAAAAAATAAGAGGATGAGCAAAAAAAATGATGATATGTTGCAATGTATCCAGAGAATGGAAGAGAAAATAAAAAATCTATCAAGGGAAAATGTAGAATTGGTAAGTAATCATCTCTGACATCATGTTATTAGAACATATTGCACACAGTTACTTTTGAGGTGGAAGTGCTTGTAAGGCTTCTACTCTAATACAGGCATTTCAGAGTCTTAAATTCAGCCAATGCAACTGAATATTCATACTCTAAATTCAGAGTGGCATGTGCTTTGTGTTGTATCAATTCACGCTGATTAAGGGAAATGATAGACAAAATGTGTTTGGAGGCTATAAAAATGTATGACTAAAAATCAGCTTTAATAAATGCTGCTTTCATGATTAGAAGTCAGAACTGAATTTCAGTGCATGTGCCAAGGGCTCTACTACGTTAGATCATTGAGTTCACTTGTCTGCTAATTTTGTCCCAGACTATGTTCTTTGATTCTGTTCTAAAATATCTTACGTGAGATATTAACGCTGAGGCATACAGAAAGCGTAATTTTTTTTCTGTTGAAAAAGGCCTTATGTTGTAGTGGAGTATGCACTGGTGAGTCCAAAGATTTCTTGATTACTACATCAACACATGAGACTTTTCCTCCTGTTACAGCAAAACACTTTAAAACGTTCTTTATGTTTACTTTTTTTTCAATTTTATTTTAATTCTTGTAGAAAGAGAAGTTATCTGCACAACCAGCACTGAAGAGGCACACGTCTTTGAATGATCTCAGCAGCACGCGGGAGGAACAAGAAATTGAATTCCTTAGACTGCAAGTCAAAGAACAGCAGCATGTTATTGATGATCTCACAGTGGTAATGCTTATGACTGGTATACATACATGCATGCACACACGTCTATAGGCAAGCTAAGGATTTGAGAGCAATATTTTAACTCCAGTTGTAGTAGTGATACAGAAATAGCTTTTTTGGCATTGAAGGGTTCCTGTTATTTCTCAGGTAGTGAACGAATTTGGAATGTGTATGAATCTCTGTATTATAAAAAATTTACCTACTATGAGCTGCTTGTGAAAAGAAATGCATCAGTCCATCCACCTTACTTACAAAATTGGCTGTCAACAACTGAGGAACTTGAGGAAAGGACGCATTCCAAAACGTAATGGCTGAAACGCGTTGGATGTAGACCCTGGTGCAAACCCAAACGCTCCCCTGATCTAGAAGTTCTCCTAAAAGAAAGGAACATGCAGGATGGCATTAATTTCACTTAACTAAGCATCTCTAACTGAGCTGGCCACGCTAACTGTCTTTATAACAAATGGAGAGAAATATGCACAGTTCATCTAACCAAAGGTAGCAGCATAGTTTAAGATTAGAATTGCACAGCTGCTGCTCTCTGTCTGTGGGGACTACTTAAGATGATGCTCATAGATGTTTGCATTGTTTGATCAGGACTCTTTTGCGTTATGTTAGAGGTGTCTAGTGCTATTTAGTGCAACTTATGATACACCCTTCTGGTGCTGGCAGAAATGACATCTCATCTCTGAGAGATCCCTGCCCTTCTGGAGCAGCATTTGGAACTCAGGCAGACTCGGAGCATCTCAAATGGCACTACTGACTGCTACAAAATGATAAATTGAATTTAAGATCATTCTGTCTAAATAGAAAATTAAACAATTGGATACAACATTGAAAGTAAAAATAGAAGATCCAAAAAGATAAAACAACAAGATGTGTTATTGCTCTTTCTGGAACATTGTCTCTATTCCTGGCAGTTCTTCCAAAATTTTGACCCAGGAATTCTCTCTGTAATCATTGCCAAAGATTGATGTCTGCGTGCATTCTCCAATGTCACAGTGTTACAAGCAGTAGGATGTTACTCAGACATTATGACGTAGGGTCTGAATCACAGGGCAATGCTTCTTTATCTTCCAAATACAACTGTACAGACAGGATCTATGACATGATATTAAATTCCCAGTATATGGCAGATATAACCTCACATATTTCAGTGTAAAGTGGATATGAAAGGACTGTCTTTTTACTGTCTCAGCCAGTAACCTGAGGAATTATATTGTATCCTGACCTTGGTCAAATAGTATTAACTCGTGTTTAGTGTGAAAGTAAAATAAATAAATATTTTAAAATACGGTTTCATTTTGGCTTTGTTTCCTATTTACAGATACTTTTTCACTCACAGAAATAAGTTAAATTGTTAAATAAGATACTGCTTTGGTTGGCAGTACAAACTAATTGATGCTTCGCCTTCAATATGAATGCAGTGGAATTCTGCACTTCCATTATGCTTTTTAGCTATCTTTTCTGGCTCAAACCACACCTCTACAGAATACAAATGTATATCATAATTATCAAGAATGACCCCCATGTCACATACCTGATTAATACAAAAGTCATCAGCTTATCTCCAGCTGAGACCAATATGATACACAGAAATAAGAACAGTAGTCTTATGCAAAAGGGTAGTCTGAATTGATTAAGACTGTTGTTTGTGAGGGTATCTTTGATGCTGTTGAAGCCATATCAACTTGAGTTCTCCCACAGCAGTGGTGTTCTGGTCAGTTCTTAAAAGGAAAACTGTCAAGATAAGCTCAGATGATTGCAAAAGATGCTAGTAATTCAGCAAGTGGTGTTTTTTAATTGGCATTATTATTGTTCTGGTAGCTTGATGTATTACTGAGACAGTAAATTAAGCAGTCTTCTTACAAGATTAAAAAGAGGAAGGAGTGGGGGATTTTTCTGCACTGAAGTGACAGGAAAGTCCAACTGTTTTGACACTTGGGCTGCTTGGGTTGCAGGAGACCCAGGTTAAAGCAGGGACTGTGCCTTAACCGGGTACCTGAGGAGGGAGCATTTTTCTCCAACACTGTAAAATTCAACTGTATGGTTTCAGCTTTAGCTTAATATATTATATTATATTGTTCTGCAGCTTGAAATACCTGCTCCATTCTACCTTGGCAGTCATTACTTTTCCTTATTATGAAAACCACATGTATTAAAGGTGCTATATAAGTTGTTGTGCTTTTCTGGATTATTTTGTATTTTCCAAAACATCATTCCTGGAACAATGTGCTGATAAAGATGAATTATTTTATTGTGTTTACCTCTGGGAGCTTCCTATTTGTCCAGTTTCTGAACTGAATGTAAAGCAAATAACTCTGAATAGAATAATACCATGCAGTGAGCAATAACTGCTAGAGAAGCACTTGGAACTGCTATCATTCTTTTAAAAATAGAGGTGCTGCAAACAAAGATGCAGAGCTAAGGAAAGAATCAGGAAAAAGGCAAGGAGAAGATCACCTGCCTCCTGTGTTGGGTTTTTTTTTGCTTGCTCCTTTGCATTTTTTACCTTCTCTTCCTCCTCTTTTCCTTTGGAACTCAAGGCAGTATTCTTGGGCTTAAGTGTTCATAAACCCTGCATTTTTCCAGTTATAACCTCCTCCTGTTACGATATAGTCAATTGTGATCTTGTTCCAAAGCCACGGTAGAAAAAAAGACACCGACTAAGTTGACGCAGACTGAGAGTGCCTTTGGATTTGAGACTTTTGCCCTGCAAGGATAAGTCACATGTAACACTGTATCTGCATATGCATGCTGGTATATCAGAGTGTGCCTGATATAGTGACTTGTAATTACTAAGGCTGGACTCATTTTTGGCTACCGACCTGCTTCTTCAGGATGGTTGAACACTGGAGTGAGAATGTGAATTCTGTTTCCATAGTGAGCTTCTTGGTAAAAGAGTCAAAAGAACTGTCAGAAATCTGTGCCCAGTACCTAACAAAGCCTTTTCTTGCCAACTTCCCATCAAGTGTGTAAAGTATATGGCTGAAGATTTGTTTGCTAAAGGGATAAAGCTGCAGTACAGCGTGGTGTTATATCAACATGGCGTTATTCAAAAGGATAAAGACATTGTCTTTGTGTTAGCTTTACCGTAGGCTTTAAGAAAATTTTAATGATACTTCTTTGTGTTAGACATACCTAAATGTTTTAAAAGAAACCCATACCAAAATGTTCTCTTTCCTTCTAGGAAAGGGAACGGTTATTACGGTCTAAAAAACAGAAGAGGAAAAGCCTGAAACCTCCAAAGGTGAGCAAACCTTCAGTTTCCATGCATTTCTGTTACTGTGAACAGTGCTTGTTTCAAATATTGCCTGAAATTAGAGCTCTGCTTAAATTAACGGTAAAATTTCATATAATTTTCCTGTTTTTTCTAATGAGTGCTTATTCACTTTTTCTTAGGATAAATCAGGAGCTGCAAGTTTTGTACTGCACACAAATGTTGTTGTTTTGGGTTTGGTTTTAAATAAACAATATCATTACACTTTTAGCCATTGTGACCTAAATATTCAAGTGGCTTGAGGCCTAAATGACATAGTGACTCAAAACAACTACCATTTCAAAGGATAAATACTCAGTCCTTTTCAAAGAAAATACACCCTTTAAACTACTCGTACCAAGTTACTGCTTAATCACAATTGAAAACTTTAACTCATGCTAGGGATGTTATTGAAATGATATTTCTGTATGTGATATATGAATAGTAAAAAGATTCCAACTGTTTTTCTCTAGTAACTATTTTACTCTAGAATGCAAAGTACGAGAGAAAAATTTAGATTGTAGAAACAGAAAAGTTTTGCTTCAGAGTGTACCTTTGGTCTTTATTGTAACATGTGCTTAAAGTAATTAATTTTGCTGAATAATGCTTTTTTGTGAAGTTGAACATTAGCAGCCTGGAGCGTGTGAGGGGAGGAGGATGGGGCGAGAGGGAGAAAATGGAAGTGAAGAGTGGAGAGATGATTATCATCTGTATGGTAGCTTAAGATACATTCTGTCATAAATGGGTGCTTCTTGTCACTGTGTTCTGCGCGGTATATTCCTGGTGACCTCCAGGTGGTGCTTTTTTACTGTTCTGCATTCTGTAATACCTGTATTCTGAAAGATTTATCCTTTGGGATTCTCTGCTTCAGCAGTAATTTCTTCAAATTATGCTTCGAATAATGACGTGTCTTTTACATATGGAAGGAGGAAAAATTCAGAAGTAACAATAAATCTTGCATACATTTTTCTATTATATAATGGAAGGCTGATAGACGCCAAATATATATTTACAGTAACCCTGAACCATTCTTTCTTGGCGTAGTGTACCTGGAAGTTTGTGTGTTGAGAGCAAGTTTAAAAACATGACATAAAATTAAATATATATATATATGTGTGTGTGTGTAACTACTAATGTAGTTTTTATAGTCCTGTCTAATTACTAGCCCTTAACCAATTTGAAATTAATTGTGTAAGATCTTTTGCTAAATTGTATACTTGCTAATGAAACGAAACCAATTAATTTAATTTTTTAGGAGTTGATAACTTCTGATGCTAATTTCTATAGGCTGAAAACTTCCATAATTATTTATGTGTGTCATAAAAAAGTTCTGTGTTAATAGAACTTCAGCTGACCTAGACTCCATACCCTTTCCTTTGACCTATTTTCTCTTGAGCGAGCTGCTGCTTTTGTGGTATCTTCTTCTTCTTCTTTTCCTTATTGACCAAAGCAAGAGTTAAACAACATGAGGGTTGGAGAAAATGTGCATGATACCATTAAAAAATTTGTGGCAGCGCTATTCTTCATGTGGTAAGAGTGCTATAATTGGTGGACTTCTGCAGAGATTACTGCAACAATTGTGTAGATATGAGCAGCAGAGTTAGTAGGGGTTTGCTTCTTATGTATATGATAGATACACCAGAAAGAACAAATTAATCAGTAGCAGACGTAACTCCCACTAGTTATTCCATCCACCGTCCGTTAGCTCTTTGGTGCCCATATGAAACTGGCCATTTGAAATTTTATTTGATGCTATCTCATCAAAGAAAAAGCAGGACTATAAAACAAAAACAAGTGAAAAAGAGAGAGAAAGTTGTGAGAGAAGAGTGAATGGGATTATATATACTATACTAGTTACACTATATATACTATACTAGTTATTATATAACTATATATATATAGTTTCTAAATGAGCTTATTCCTTGAGGGAGGAAAGAAGTCATCAATAATATATTTATTAGTGTCCTATTATCTGCCATCGAATAAACCTGTAGGCTATTCATATGTACATGCAGTGTTGACCTGGAGTTTAAACACTGTTGATGTTAGCTTCTAAAAATCCAGTCCTGGCATACAGACTGTTTTTCTTCCAGGTCACCTGTGTGGTCCTGTGAGGATCAAAATCCTCAAAGGAAGCTGTGTTTCCCAGAGTTTTCCAGCAGTTTTGTATTTAACCAGTCTATGTAGAATGGGCTGCTTACCCAGGTGAGCTGCTGGGATTGTATCATCTTCATCCTCTCTTTTTTTTTAAAGCCTATCTCAGGAATCAGATGGAAACAGTAGAATTCATCTAACCAAGCATTGCAAATGCTTGGTTAGGTGTCATTAACGGAGGTGAGATATAGACATCTCACGCTGGACAGAGTGGCAACATTGAGTGGTGATTGTTCTCCTCTGGAAGTAGATCTCTAAATAGGCCGTATGATTTTTGTCCTAAAATTGCCTATTTCTCTCCATGGACTATAAAGGCAGTCTAAGAGGAGTTGCTTTATATATAGACATGTACAATGCAAGTGTATTTCTGTCTATGATCTGTGCAAGATTTTTATATCATACAGATGATAACCTATATATAATAGTAGAAGAAATTATGGGTATATGTGTCCTAACCAACCACTCAGAAGGAGAAATTACTGACATAAATCTTTGGCTTTGCTTTTCTAAGATTTGTTAAATTAGCATTAACACAGTGAGTTATCAAGTTTGGCTGTTGGAGCTGTATCTGTTTCCAGCTGTGTCCCACTTCCCTTGACAAAATGAAAAAGGAAATAACTGGTGAGAATTAGGTTTCATGAATGTGGTCAGATAAGCTCAGACTAGAAGGTACAGAAAGGTTCCATTTTGTTCTAATAAACAGGAACTTGGTGCATAGGATGAAGACTTAAACTCATGTACTGTTGCAGCTTCTCCTAAATGGGTACTTTTACAGTCCAGCTTCCTTAATTGTCGAGGTACTCTGACTGGACAGTGTCTGTGTTTGTTTTCTAATATGAGTATTTTCCTGACAGTGATTCCTGTTAGCTGGAACAGAGTCCATGGCATGCCTTTCTCCATCTTTAAGACAGCTTGTGTGAATGATCTGTCAGGCTAGTCCAGTAGCCTTTATAGCCCAACTGAGTCTAAATAACATCCGTTCACTGAGAAGCTTTGGAAAATACCAAGGATTTTTTTTTTTCCCCGCAATTAGATGTCTATGTTATTTCTGGAGCTCTGTAGGTGCACTAGGTTACTGTTGCTAGTGTAGCTTTGACTGAGCACTCTTTTAATTACCAAGGGGAATAGGAGTCCAAAGAGCAGCGCTGGCAACCGGCTTGGGTTCCCCGAGGAAAAGAGCAGCGTAGTGGGATGGGGCTTTATAACCTCTGTGGCTGCAAGGTGTTTAGAGGAGTAAGATAATGATTCTGTATAGTCAGGTACTGTAGGATAGTTTTCTCTGAAGTGAAGCAGCCTAATAGAGGCTGCTTTTGTGTTTTTTTGTGGGTTTTTTTGTTGTTGTTGTTGTTGTTGGGTTTTTTTGGTTGTTTTTTTTTTTTTTTACGTTAAGGTGCCATTAAACGTAACGTGCCAGGAAAAAGATGTACCAGAGGTGAATCTTCTTTTGCTGTTTAAAGCATGCCTTTTTCCAGGTGTGTTTTTCTTTTTTTTTTTTTTTTTCCTCCCAATTTTGGTAGTGAAATAACCAAGAAACTCCAGAAACAGTATTTTTGGGGTTTTGTTTATTTTTGAAATGAAGAATGGAATTACAGTGATTCCATGATTGATGGAGTCATGCATTTGAAAATAAGGCATAATTGCCTGGTTTGTTTGGAAACTGCAGAACTCTATGGATTTGTTTCTTTATTTAAACTTTAATAAATAAACTGTATTCGTGATAGTGGGAAGCCTCCACACTGGTGTGATGGAGTTTATATTTCTTGTTTTATATTTTTCTTTTTTTATCTGCCTCTGTGCTTTGGTGTGCTTGTATTTTTCTGGCTGCCAAGAAATGACATATAAGCATGAAGGTAAGAATTTACTGATAAGCTCATCTGATTGCATTACAAGGAAATTAATCTTGGATCATTTTCATCATGTTAGATTAAGTACTTGAAACGGAGATATTTAAATGTAAAGTGAAACTACTTTAGCAACAGATAAATCAGATTATTTATATGTAATCGAAACCATTAAAAGTATGAGGGTATATTGAAATTTGCATATAATATAGTCTACATGTCACTATTGATTTATAACATTCTAAACTTCGGTGTTTACTGAGCACCATACTTCAGTAGAAGCATAAAGACCTAATGCATAATTTTACTTTAAAATTAGTGAAAACATTGATATAAATCTACATGAAAAATACTTGCTGTTAAATGCATGGCAGTAGTCAATGGAAATTAGAATTTAAGTCAGAATTTTTCAGCAATTTACATGACTATTTTCTCAGTTATGAAGGTATGATTTAGAAGTAACAACTGTACAAATCAATCTAAAAGAATCTTTAAGTTGTTAATTGAGAATGTTCCCATTTTTAAGAAAAGTTTGAATGAAACTTGAATGAAAATAGTGTATAGTTACAAAAATCCAGTGAGTATTGTACATGTTTATATATACTTTTCAAAAACCATTGTGATTCAGCTTTTGAGCTATATATGGAATCTCCCTTGGAGTTAGTGTATTTATTTATGCCTTATCATTTATTACAGTGTTTATCAACTTTGTATGAATCAGATGTCTTTTTTTCTGTTTTTTTTTCTCTCTACAGCTGTTCCCTTGCCAGTTAATTTGTTCTGGTTTTGCTGTGAATCACTTCTTGTAGCTAGTTGCTTCAGATACTAGATGATCAACAATAAAACCAGCTATTTTGTAATTATGTCATGAAGGAATTCATACATGTGCAACTAATATACAATGGTTAAATGCCTTATCTCTATTTCTATGGAAAGTATCTGCTCCACAAAATCATAAATGTACAGCTTCTCTAAAGAGGCAGGAGTCATTAAAAGCACATAAGTGGTTCACTCATAACTCGAAATATTATAGGTAGTCTGTATAGCATTTAACAGTTTTTGACTTTTACCTCTCCTTGAAGTGTTGGGGTTTTTTAGTGTGATGGGAAATACTAATTTTCTTGCATAATTCCCTCCCATCTAATAATCAAGTGATTTATTTATTAATATATGCAAATTATTTCCCCCTACTTTTGCTACTAGTGAAATGTTTAAATGCAGCTAGTATCTTTTGTCAAAATAATGGCATTGCTATAAGTATCTTCTCAAACCTATATACATTTATGTAAAATCAAACCCGCTGTTGTTTTACTATTGTTTTTTCACTCCTTGTAACAGCGTGAGTGGGTGTGTGCATGCAGGGTTAAAGGAAGATGCATACTTAAGCTGAGTTATCTACAAAAGTGGCTGTAGTTTGAAGTATATCAAAAAGCCCTGTAGGTATGATAAGTCTTATTGTCACTTTTAAGTAAGCTGCTGCTGATCTTCATGGTACTGTGTTCTCTGTGCCATATATATAAAAATAAATTGGAGTTTTGTTCTCCATCTTTTAGAAGTCCCTTCTACCAGCCTTTTCAAAGTCAAGACTTGACTCTTATTTATTTTGTCAGCCCTCAAGCCTATACTTTATTGCAGGTTTTGGTTGAGCTTTGCTCAAGTGCTCAATGATGGTCATTTTTGAGGCCAAGCAACCTTGAAGCAGAAGGCATGAGCAGGGTCAGCTGTTCTTCAGTCCTCTGAGTTGCTTGTCCGTGGTTAGGTTCCTCCAAAGCACAGGCTAGTTGTTCTGAACCCCATCCACGGACAAGCTGGTACGGGCAGAAGAGCAGGGTATGAAAGTATTGGCATAAGAGTCTGCATGTAGCTTTGTTCTGGGTTTACTCTGAGCGCCTTTGAGTAAAAAGTATCTGCACTGCAAAATGAGGATGAGGTTTTCATGAAAGTTTCTTGGGTTTTGTTTACCTGCCATCATCTTCTTTACCTCCATATAATCTACCTTCATCTTTGTGAAACTGTATCTGCTCATTGGTTTGGAGTCAGAAAGTTCCTCCTGATGAGTTGACCTGGCAATCCAAACTGTAAATTTGTCTTCCTTACAACTTGAAGGTAGCACCATTTCTTTAGCCCTCTTTACAACTCCCAATATTTACTTGTAGCATTACTGTTAGATGATTGTAAGCTGCAACCAGTATTCAGCAGAAATGCTGGATGGGCTGTCTCCCAGGACTAATTACACCTCAATTTTTGTGATAAACCTGTGTACTTATGAGAAAGGAGTCTGAAATGTTTGTAATTCCAGTGTGAGAGAACACATTAGCTTTCTGGATAAGTCTTTATATTTCTAGAATAGAGCTTAAACCTGTTCCCCGTGTCCTTTGTTTTGTTAAGTAGGACAGAACGGTGAACAAACTGGTGTAGCATGTGAATGCTGGAGGAAAGGATTAAATTATCCCAGGAAAGTGTTTGTCTTAAGCATCTTAGACATAGTTCTGCCTGGTGAAAGGATCACAGTGCTTCCTAAACAACTGAGAGAAGAGTAATGTGTCTTTAGTACTGTGACTGCGATCCTTTTCTTTTCTTGTGAGTACACTAAATATGGTCTAGTAGCCTGCAAAAGGAAGGTTGTTTCTAAAGATTGTTCAGAAGCTCTTTGCCTTCTGTGCTGCATCATATTTATCTGTATGCATATGGATAAGCACAGTCTATTTGGAAAAGATGTGGCTTTTGAGGTTTGGGGTTTTTTTGAGTGCATATTATCCATTCAGAAGGAGATTTTAGTAGAAGCAGTTAATTTAAAAATGCAGTCTGAATGAAATTTTTAAGTTATTATTTGAAGGGCTTATCTTAAGTGAAGCAATTCAGAACAGGGCCTTGAAGCTGTCTTCGGTAGTTTGAGTGGGATTAGCTGTACTGTGAAACTATGATGGAGTTGATTAGCTTACGAGTGATGAGACTGTGACCTGGTGGACCATGGTAACCAGGGCTGCAGACTGTAAATGGAGTGCATGGTGTCATGCATGCAGGCACCAAGTCACACCTACGAGCTTGATTTTATGGTATGACTTAAATCAAGATAGAGTATTTTGGCTGTTGATGAGAGCTGTGCTGAGCCAAAAGAATATATTAAACATTATGGGGCTTTGTGAGAAAGTGAAGACGGTACTTTATAGACATACTGGAAGAATGTATAAAGTTAGGTAAGTCTAGAAGACTGCAGTGAAAGGTGAATATTTGGAATTCATCATGAGATAGGGCATTATAGATAAACTAAAACCTTTCAGTATCTTGAATGAAATTGACAACTCACAATTCCACTCACTTAGCCAGTTTGGCTTTGCTGAGATGTCTGATGTTCTGAGTTAATAACAACTGATAATTTTTTTCATCCTTTAGGCTTTTTTAATGAACAGGGCTATTATCTTCTCACATGCAACCTGTGGTTTATAGTTGTTGGGTTTTTTTAAAAAAAACCCAAACTGTGACATCAGGATCTGTGATTCAGCATCAAGCAGTGCCAAAAAACACAGAGATGCATAGACAGATTTTTCTTCATCTTCTTAGAGCCACCTCTCTCCATTAGTCTCCTTGTCTAGGATGCTTCATAACCTGACTCCATTTTTCCAGCAACACCCTTTTTTTTTTCTTAATTTTCCTGCTTCTCTGAATTTGTGTTGGGTTATTAAAACACTTGTATGGTGAAAAGTTAGGCTTTCTATTGATTAATAACCATTAACTTTTGTTATTGTTATTTTGGAAGGAAAAATATTTGAAAAACTTTTTCTAGTTAAATGTTTAAGCAATTTTTATTTTTTTTTGAACACCAGTATTTTCAATGCTGGAAATTTGCTGCTTTCTAAACATATGTTAGAAAACTGATGGAAAGGGGGCTCTTAAAATGGTGAATTATTGCAGTTGTGATGCTTTATATAAAACATTGCATTTTTCACAATGAGTATTGTACTATTCACTTCCATTGGGTACTCATTTTCTCTAGTTTTCCTGTTTACATTGTGTAAAATTTTTAAAATCTGCATTGAAATGCTAGTTTTCCCTAAGCACAGTTTTTTTGGTTAGTCATAGTATTGGAGCAAACTTTTGAAAAAATTGAGAATGATGGTATTGGAAAAATAAATGAAAAGCAACAATTTATAGTTTTAAGTAGGGTTTTACAAAATAGATATTATAAATTAATGTTTTTTTTTCTTTTTTTCTTTTTTAAAATTAGTATGAATGACAAAATTTGTTCCACATTGTTCTTCAGAATATGTTTTTTCCCTTTTGGTTCCACATCTTACGTGTTACGTCGTACTGGGTTACTTTCTTCTGAATAGATATTGCATTCCTCCACTGTGAATCTTGTAGGATCAGTATGATTTTGGTAGTTAGCTTTTATACTTTTGCTAAAGCATTATTCTATGGGCAATTACCCAGTGCTATGTGCAGTTCAGTTCTTGGAGGTTCTTATACAAATGGTGTTGAAGAGGTAGCTAATTTAATCAGAGAACAAGGGTTTACAAAGAAACCTCTTCTCTTCCTAAATACTAAAATAATGGTCAGAGAAGACCTTGGCAACTACTTACTGGGTCATTGGGGTTTTCCAACTGTTTTGTTAGTAACTAAGAAAAACTAACTTTTCAGAGGCATGTTGTGGAGACATTTTTTGGATTTGATGAAGAATCTCTTGATTCAGAAACATCATCTATAACTTCATATAACACAGATAAAACAGACAGGACACCAGCAACACCAGAAGAAGATTTGGAAGATGTAAGTAGTAGATGATTTATTCTTAAGTTCTATAAAAATTGACATGGAGTATAAATGCAAACTTTTTTTCAGCTATTCTGCCACAGGAACTATGAAAGACTTGGCAGAGAATTGCTTTGTTTTGTTTCATAGTCCAGTAACACATCCACAGTCATTGCAATAGAATTAATAAGATAATATTCTGCCTGACAGATTTGGCAGATATTGGGCTGAGAAATAAACTTGTTTTTCTCAAACCCTTTCTTATCAGTGAAAAGAAAATGAATAGGCACATTGCTTTGCCAGAAGTCAATAGTTACTAGACAATAGTTTGCCTTTCAACCTTATAATTTATTTGACTGTTTTGATACAACCAGGATTTTCTTCCTGTACTTACAATACTCAGAGAGGCTTTTGCAATTCATTAAGGCTTAAATGAGCTTAGGTAGTAAATACCCACTGACAAGTTTTGTCTCAGCTCTGTGATACACACTGCAGCTGCCCTACTTTAAAAGATTGCAGGGCTGAGGACAAAGTATGAATTAGATGCTCTTTTTCATCTTTCTTTCCTGTTCACTAACCTGTGCCTAATACTCCTTAGTCACAAGAAGCTTCATATTTTTCTAGGTTTAATGTCTAATAATACTGTAATCTCTTTTTTTTCTCGAGTTCCTGGAGCAAAAATTAATTAAAGGGAAGGACATTTCTTGCCCTCAGCATTAGAGGAAAGACCTTGAAAATGCTGACGTCAGTTGCTCAAAATTCAAAGAAAATTAAGACATTAAAAATACTTCATGTAAAAAAAAAAAAAAAATTTAAAAAACCATCTTATGGCTTTTGAAATATAACTTCTGTGTTAGTGTGCTTGTGCTAGTAAAACGCTTTACCCTGGCATTGTAGAGAATAAGAGTAAGGAGGAAGTGATGGACTGCATGACAAATAGAGCAAACTCCTTCTGAAGCCCCTGTGGCTCTGGAGTTGCTGAAGACAGTGGTGCATAGAACTGTTCCCTCTCATCTTTCCCCCGTCAGTTTCTTCCCATTTCTATACATTACTGCCTTATATAGTAACTTATACTGTCCTGAAATTGTAAGGTAGACACAGTTACTGATCTCTGCATTTTTGTATCATCCTCAAATCATCCTTCCTTCCATTTCCACTTGTTTTAGTTTTTTAAACCTTTACTAAACTTTGAGACTCAGTAAGAACTGTGTTGCTTGTTGTGTTTGTGAGTCTGTCTGTATAAACAAACCCATTATCATATATATTTATAGAAACCCACCTTTTTTTCCCTCTTCATTAAGAATACGCCTAAAGAAGAAGCTGAACTAAGGTTCTGCCAGCTAACAAGAGAGTATCAGGCTTTGCAAAGAGCATATGCATTGCTTCAAGAACAAGTTGGTGGAACCCTGGATGCAGAGAGAGAAGCAAGGGTAATTTTTTAACTGAAATTTCTTTTAACTCTGAAATCATTGAAAAAGCTGAAAAAACTTGCAATAGCAGGAGCTATCTTTGCAGGTCAGTGAAATGCAAAGCACAATGTTTTTGAGGATTAAAGGATATTTTCAGTTATGTGACAATTTAGATTCATCTGGTGCGATCAGAACAAAGATATCATTAAACTTTATTCTAGCATGCATAATATATTAACGTTTTCAGTAGTAAGACAGTGTTATTGAGAATGATATCCCAATTGAACCTGCAATTTGGATAGCAACGTGATGGATTTAAAATGAATCGGAGAATAGGTTGTTATAAGTACTTAGGTACTTTTATCATATGAGTATATTAAAAATCTGACCCAAATCTGACAAAGGAAGTTTTTCTTCAAGTGTTTTGTCAAATATATGAAATCATAATTTGTTTTTAAAAATCTCAGTTTGAGAGTATTCTTCCACTAAAAAGTACATAGCTAACTGTTCCTATTAGGTCAGCATGTGTGATTGTTTACTCTCTCTGAAATAAATGTTTTTTTATCCTCACAGCAATCTCTGTACTATAGGTATTTGAGGTGTGAGAGAGTATGTATTCTGTTTTCATTTATCCTTCTGCCACCACTGGATTTAGTGCAGAGATGAGGTCAGCAGAAGTCATGCTAACATCTTCCTTTCTGTTTTTTCCAAACTGGGGAGGAGAGAAATCACTTCATAATGAATTGGTGAGCTCTGACTCAGTCCCCAGACCTATTCACTGAATAGCAGTGGCATCAAAAAAGAGCTGAGTTAACTAGAGGCAAAATTTCTTCTACTTTATCCCAACACCTTGCAGATAGGGGCATGTCTAGAAATGTAGCATATTTACAAGTCACCCTCTACTTGAATGACTATTGTGATCAGTGACCAAAGAACATGTAACATCCGAATGGGCAAGCAATAGCCATAGGGCTGGAAACTTCATCATCTTCACCCCATGTCCTTCATTCTGCATCAAGTACAGCTTGAACCTGTAGATTACTGACTACTAAGAGAGTTGACTGATGTCATTGAGAGGCCACTCTCAATTATCTTTGAAGGGTCATGGCGATTGTGGGAGGTTCCTGAGGACTGTAAGAAAGCAAATGTCACTCTTGTCTTCAAGAAAGGCAAGAAGGAGGATCTGGGGAACTGAAGGCTGGTCGTTCTCACCTCAGTCCCTAGGAAAGGGATGGAGCAAATAATCATGGAAACTATTTCCAAATGTCTGAAGGACAAGAAGGTGACTCGATGTGATCAGCATGGACCTATGAAAGGAAAATCATGCTTAACCAGCTTGGTAGCGTTCTATGATGAGATGACTAGCTTGGCAGATATGTTGAGAGCAGTGAACTTTGTTTATCTTGACTGTAGTAAGTCTTTTGACACTCCCCCTCATAAGATTCTCATAGACAAACTGATGAAGTACAGAGTTAGACAGGTGGACAGTGAGGTGGACTGAAAATTGGCTGAAATGGCTTAAAGGGTTGTGATCAGTGGCAGAAAGTTCAGCTGGAAGTGTGTCACCAGTATCACTGCAGGGGTTGATACTGGGTCTAGTACTATTTAACCTCTTCCTTAATGACCGTGATGATTGAACAGAGTGCATCTGCAGCAAGTTTGCAGACGATACAAAATTGAGAGCAGTGGTTGACATGAGATGGTTGTGCTGCCATTCAGAGGGACCATTCGACTGCCTGAAGAAATGTGTAAAGAGGAATCTCATTAAATTCAACAAAGGGAAGGAAGAGTCCTGCATGTGGGGAAAAATAACTCCATGCACCAGTACAGACTTGGGGCTGGCTTGCTGGCAAGCAGTTTAAAGAATGTGGGGGTCCTGGTGGACACCAAGTTGAACATGAGCCAGCAATGTGCCCTTGCAGCAAAGAAGGCCAACAGCCTCCTGGGCTGCATTAGGAAGAAAGTCTCCAGCAGACCGATGGAGGTGATCCTTCCTCTCTACTCAGTATTGATGAGGCCACATCTGGAGTGCTGGGTCCATCTCTGGGCTCCCCCACTACAAGAAAAACATGGACATATGGGACAGAATCCAATGAAGGGCCACGAAGATGATTAAGGGTTTGGAGAACCTGGTAGGCAAGGAGAGGCTGAGCAAACTGGAACTGTTCAGCCTGGATGAGAAGGCTCAGGGGTATCTTATCAATTTGTGTAAGTACCTGATGGAGGGAGTAAAGAACAGGGAACCAGACTCTTCTGAGTGGGATCCAGTGAAAGGACAAGATGCAACAGGCACAAATTCAAATACAAGAAATACCATTTAAATGTAAGGAAGACCCTTCTTCCTCTAAGGGCAGTCAAACATTGGAACAGGTTTCCCAGAGAGGTCGTGGAGTCTTCATCCCTGGAGATATTCAGAACTCCACTGGACAAGGTCTTGAGCAACTTGCTCTAGCTGCCCCCGTGCTTTGAGCACAGGAGTTGTACAGGAGATCCCTTCCAACCTTAATGAGATTGTGATTTAAGCATTAAAAAAACCCCTAACCCACTTCTCCTCCCCCAAAAAACCCCCGAGTCACCAAAATGGAGAAATGTGTTAAATACTGTGAATTATTACATATTACTGCGTTGCTACATGTGGCCTTCATTGTATTGTGCCACTGCAACATGTTGCTAATAATGCAGAAAGACAAAGATTTTAATGTGGTTTAAAAATTACCGGTGGGGATGGACTCAATTTATCCCAAAGGTAGGAGCTGCCACTAGCTTAATGATTCCACTGCTTAGAACAATTAATAAAATATTCACAAAATTCTATATTGCTAGATTGCTGATGGTTATTAGGCATACATGTGCACTATTTCATCCATGTCATTTTCTCTGGCAAGCATTTTAAAATCCACTTACTGAATATTCTCAGGTGTAGAAACTGTATGCTTGTGGGAGCAGAATTTCTGTGTGTTAATAAGCAAAGCTTTCCAGATAAGACTTACAGAAGAATGCTTGACATTATCTGGAGTTATTTACAGCTAAAAATGTTTGTCTATTATTCCCAACCAGTATTTAGAAGATTCAGGGTTTACTTTAAAATGTGTCATGTTTTGTTGTGGGTTTTTTTTCCAAGGTTCTTTGAAGTGGCTCTCAACCAACCTGAACTTTTTTTTTTCCTGTGAAACACAGTTCTTATAATAGTAGAATTATTGCTTTATGGTTTTATTTGTTAGAGTTCTCAGCATCTTACAAAAGCCTAGTAACATTTGACACTCTCTTTTTAAGTAGGACACTTAGCCAAGGAAAGCATTAAGGACTTTGGAGAGCATTCTCAAGCTAGAGTTAGGGTGGGGAGCATAATTACATCTACTATTAAAGTACGATTTCAGAGGCACTCATGTATTTAACAGTTATGAAAGACTATTATATATTTCCTTTGGCTTCATGGGAAGGGAAACTCTGGTATGAATATTTTTGTAATAGCTTGTTTAAATTTTATTTTGCAGGCATTTGCAAACTGTCTCTTTAGTACACTTTGGAATTGTTGCTCTTTCTGGCATTTTGGTTTCTTTTGTCACATCCATGCAAATCAATCTTTTGAGTGAGTTAGAAGGTAGCTTTTTGCATGGTTGGTTTTGTAGGGCCCAGTGTTCTGGTGGGATGAACATTTCCTATTACTTTTAGATGAAGCTTAAAGTAAATAACAAGGACCCAAAGATGCAAAGATGCAGAACAAAATCCCTGTGGGAATTTTTGAACTGCTTGGGTGAAAGAGTACCTGAAGTAGGGTGGGAAAAGTACTTGCAGTAGCTCAAAGAGCCGCAGCAACTGAAGGTCTCCAGAGATATCCTTTGGCTTATATCCTTTTTGTTTAGTACCTTGTGTGATCCAGTCCCTTTTAGGACATTACTGGACTCAGGGAGTAATTCCTACTGTAGTGTAATAGTTAGTGTAATAATCATGTAGAATGAGGAAAACTGACTGGTGTATGCTGTTTATGGGATACATAAATTATTTTGGATCAATATATTTTATTTACCTAGAGGCCTTTTTCAGTGCTTATTGCAATTCCCTTTTTCTCTTGCCCCTTTTTTCCCAAATGCCTTGAATTACTAAAGCTTATGAATAGCTTCTTAGCGCTCTTTCAGTTCCTAACTTTTTTTTTCCTGGGAAGAGCTTTGTCACTAAATATGTGATGATAACATCTTTTTAGGCAAGGAAGGAAAAATGTTGTTAAACTGATGGCTTTAAATATTTTGTAACATAAACACAAAAGCAATTATTTTAATGAAAAGCATTAAAAGCTGACTGGACAGCCCATGAGAGGGTAGAAAGTATCTTTACTTTGATTCTATGTGTAATTAAATCTACTTGTCTACCTGGGTGTGCATGCATATACACACACTTTTTAATACTATTTTTTCCCCAGACTCGTGAACAACTGCAAACTGATCTTCTCAGGTGTCAGGCAAAAATTGAGGACCTGGAGAAAGCTCTAATCGAGAAAGGACAGGTAAAAGGCTCTCTTAATGTCCTCTACCACATCATTTTCTCCCTTGCATGCAGTGGTGCCCTTGCCATCTTCATTGCTTGCTGGTGTGTTAGTGTGACTGATGCAGCTTAATTGCTACTCCAGCAATAGATTACTTAAATAAAGGAAAGTGTTATATAGGCTAAGAAAATGCCATTCAGGATTCATTTTCTAACACATAATACACTAAAGCATAATATTGAAGTAACCGTGTGTACGTGCATTGTAAATTCTGTTCCCATTGTCATTTGGTGAAGGCTTTTCTCCTCTTTTCCATTTTGTTTATATTTGCTATAAATTCCAATAAAATAAATATTCTATATTTGTACTGGAGAATGTTTTTGGTGTGTAACATAGAAAAATTCAAAACCCAAATCACTTCCACACCTGCTTCAGCTAGAGAAATGAACCACTTAGTGTGTATGGTTACTGGAAACCGCTTGCGGTGTTACTTTCCTGGGCTTAAATAATTGGAGGACCCAACTGCTTTCAAATTCCCCTACCATCACACACAATAAAATTAGGCCTTATGCTTCAGTATATCTTGTAAATACTTGACGAAGATGTGGCTACTAATGCATACTTAATAATGTCTAGGATCTGGAGGCTGATTAAGAGTTATAAGAGTGCATTTAAAAGATGTTCAGTTGCATAACTGCTAGAACGCACTGAAAAAATTGGGGAGATGTTATTTTATGCTTTATTATTTGAAACAACAATTTTAAAATCGCAGGTAGCATATGGTAATAAAATAAGATATAGCTATCTATAGTATACATTTCAAAGACTAATGATCCTGTAGCAGTGAATACAAGCAACCTACGAATAATGCCAAGTTAATGATATTAGTATTTTTATGGTTTATTCTTTGTAAGAAAAAAATTTCTGTAAGATTCTGTATAAATACAAAGGTTTTGGGACTATATTCAAATTAAGGATAAAAATTGTTTATGCTAGCTTCCACACAAACTGCAATTTGCTTAGTAAATTCCATGTAAATAAAATATTACCAAAAATAGAGAACATGTTATCAGTCTAAACATGATGGCTCACTGAGCTTTTGGAAGAATATATGGAACTGAAGTCCTCTTGAGGATCTACTGCTGACATTTTAGTGTGGTGATGATAAAGGTGTTGTGGGCAAATTGCTGTGTAATTGAAAACATTAACAAAATAATTGACTATTACAGTGTGAAATGTAAGTACTGTGTATGTAAATAAGATAAGTGAACACGGATATCCATGTAAGAAATTACTTCTGTGATTTTGCTTCCAGAATGGTGTGTCAAAAAGGTATACCTGGAAATTAGAACTTAATTAGTTATTACTTTGTGAGAGTCATAACCACATTTTCAACCTTGTATCTCTTAGTAATCCTGGGAAGGCCAACAGGGACGTGACAAGGAGCAATATGATATTGTCTCTAGTGGGCTAGTTTGTACACTGAGCATTAGCTTTCCACAGAAGTGGTGACAGTGTCTTCCTGGGAGCTCTAGCACCTGCTCAGTTCTCCTGACCTGTTAGTATTTACATTCAACAAAATAAATGGTTGTGATGATAAACTGACTTCTTTGTGCACTATGTGATTTTTTTTTTTTTTTATTACTACTTTGTCATGTAGGTGCTCATGGTAGTGATGATGATATAATAATATTTGTGAAATGTTCATTCGGGTAACCAGTCCCTAAAGTGCTTTTCAGAAGGAAACAGTGAATCAAAAGATCCTGTTGCATTATCCCAGGAATTTTTAGTCTTACTTACAGTTTTAGGAAACAGAAGCAGCAAAGACCTTCACGATTTTCCTGAAGTCAAATTCAGAGCAAGAGATTAGAATCTTATTGTTAAAAAATTATTTGAAGCTTGGCTTATAACAATTTATGTGTAATTTCAAAGTAAGTGTCAATGGCTCTTGTTAATCTCTCATCAGCTAGAAGATGAATTCCCCTAGATGTAAAACAAGACTAATAATCCATTTTTGCAAGGTACATTGAGGTGCATGCATAAGAAACGTTATGTTAAGGGAAGAAATTCTTACAAAATATTAATAGTGGTAAATAATAAATCTCAAAATATTGGAGTATGTAATGTGCCAGATGGATTTTTTTTCTTAATGCTCAGCTCTCTCAGTGACCTGGTGTGTATATAAATACAATCCCAGTGAAATTAAGGTTTTCTCAGAAAGCTGAATTGAACTAACTTCATTAAGACAGACACAAAAATTAACCATCAATAGGGCAAATTAATCCATTTTTTCTACTTGTGTGAACTGGAGTAGTTGAACCTGCAGGTCTGACGTAACTGTTGAGCCTGCCTTTTACCTTATGCATGCATTGGAATATCCACCGTAAGTCTGTGAGTGCAACTCTTTGTTCATTCCTTTACCTTAGTAAAATGCTAGTTGAATGTTAAACTAGATTTTATTTTCAACATTTCTTTCATTTGTTTCAAAAATTCTTGACAAATGTAATGCCTTTTCAGTACTCATTTTATTCTTAACATTTATTATTCTTAGTGTGATACTTTTAACATCATAACCCTGAAGAGCTTGTTTACTGCACGAAAGTTAAAGTGCACTTGTGCATTCTTGTATATGAGTGGGAAAAGGAGAAGGAACAGTAGAATATGAAACTGTGGTGGACAGTAGGTAGAAAAACTAGCTTTAAACTTTTTAAAAAAAATTCTAATTGGAGTAAATATTATATCATAATGTTTTAGATTTTTTTGGTTAACATTTCAAGGCTAGTTAATGGACTGGGATATCCAGATGTTATTAATTTCTCGTGCAGCATCAATGTGCAAATACCTTGCTGACAAAGAAAGTATCGGCCTTAATACTTTAGTAAAGACATTTAGATTTTAAATAAATTGTCCTTTTTACCTAGAAAATAATTTGACCTAGAGTTAGTATGGCATGTTAAGTGTTGGCTATTGTTTTATTAAACTTATTAGAGCAGTATGAGCTAGATTACATAAACACTTTTCTCTACAGGGAGAACAGGGCGAATTTGCCTGTTACAGTCCATTAAACCTGAATGTCCAACTATGGCTGGCAGTGAGTTTTTGGGTCTTAAAAAGGGATATTTGATGGGGCCTCTTGAAGCCATGGAAAAACCTAAAGGAAAGATCAGCTTTGGAACAAGTGATCAAATGGAAACATGGTTTTCAAATGGAAATATGGTTTTCAAATGGAGTGTAGAATATCTTATATCACTTGCCTTCCTCCATAGGCTTGAATTTCTTGTCACAAATACTGTGTATTAGCCTGATTCTCACACTTTTAGCAGAGGGCAATTAAGTGCATACCACTGAAGCTTATTTTCAGTCATTTGGGGTAATTAAATGCTTTTTTTCCCTTTCTCCATTGGGATTTGCATTACACCACTCAAAATGGGATGATTTTGCAAGAAAGTTCCCAACTCTGTGCAATGGAAAGAAATAGTTTTGAGTTAAGCTGAGTAAATAAATGTTTTTAAAATGACATAAAATATATAACTGTGTTCACCCACAATTGCTATATGTAAAGATTTTGAAGTATATGCTTAGCTGGAACATATTAGGAAACAAGATACTCAGCTTCAGGAAAAGAAAGGAACTTTCATTTTCTCTGTAGTTTAAAATGCTATTTATCCTTGAAATATTTATGATAGCTTTATTTTTTGCTGTGTGACCATTTTTATACTTGAATGTATGATGTCTGAAATCTAATTATTGTGGTTATTAATTTGTCTTGTTTAACAAAATATATATAATTTTAATGTTTTTAATCCTCTTCTTCCTCCTAGGATTCAAAATGGGTAGAAGAAAAGCAGCTGTTAATCAGAACAAATCAGGAGTTGCTAGAGAAGGTACGTGTTCAGAATCTGGGAATATTTTTGCAATTGCTGCCCTTTATCATAAAAGGAATGGTAAAAGGAAATGAATGTACTAAGTACTGGAACATCATCATGAAAATTGCTTACTTTATTTCTCTCCAGAAACAGAAATTCTGATAAAAGTCTCTGATTAAAGTACCAATATGCTTTTGTACTCTGTGGGAATGGAAGACGCTCTTTATTGTGGAATTACATGTTGTATAGCCAACAGTAGAACCCAAGCTGGCTGATGTTTTCAGTGTCCAACAAAATACAATCTAAAATATTAAGCATAACGTGGAATCTTCTATTTTGCCAAACAGTTACACAAAGATTATTATTGTCATGTTCACTAATAAAATTGCCTGCTCCCTTCAGCCTTCCATTTTTACATTTTTTTTACACATAAAGTAATATTGATTGATTTAAGACTATTGTATCATTTACTGTCTGAGATACTCAGAGCTGAGCATCCTCATTGTTCTTCACTGATATTGATGGGAAAGTTAGCTAGTCCTCAGGAAGTCAAAGAATTTTTTTTTTTAATTAGTAGTTCAATATTAATATAATAGGAATAAGACAACCAAACAAAAATTCATGACTAAAAGTAGCTAAACTGGGCTTAATTTATTCAGACACTTACATGAGTATTATAAGAGTTATAGTACATTATGCCAGATGTGACACTTCTGTTTAGATTCATACAATTAAAAAGGTCACCCAGTTAAGGTAGACAGTAGACCAAAGCTATTAGTTGGCATAATTAATAGTCAGTTTTGAATTTCTGTTATTGTTAGTGCCCCAAAGCACAAATCTGTAAAATTAAAAAGTAGGCATTAAAACCCCTCCATTACTGTCTTTCATATACCGTAAAGAGTACAGGTCGTTAGGCAAAGACAATGAGAACAGTCTACCCAAATGTTAATGTAATCCAGTTTCATTCACTTGATTTTAAAAGAAAGCTTGTATTGCTTAACTTATTTAGATGTAATATTCGTATCACTTTTCATACTACTTCCAGATTACTATTCTAAGAGATCGTTGACCATTTTCTGCTGGCAGTTCTCACAAATACTTTCTGATGTGATGTTCTTTCTTTATCTCTAAGACACGGCCCAACTTCTAATGAGAAAGTGAAATAATTAACAGTTTTGTCTAAACCCCTGGCCTGTAACTGTGTACAGTACCTTTTCCATTGCTTATGGGGTGTTATGATGTTGTGTTTGCCTCATAGATTTACAGAATGGAACAAGAAGAGCATCAGCTGAAGAACGAGATGCAAGATGCAAAAGACCAGAACGAGCTGTTAGAATTCAGAGTGCTAGAGCTTGAAGTAAGAGATTCTCTCTGTTGCAAACTCTCAAATGGAGCAGAAATTGTGTTTGAACCCAAGCTGAAATTCCTGTAAAGATTACTGGTGCATGTTTAAGGGAAATCACTTAGGTATCTATTTTTTAAATGTTGTATCTTGGGATAATGAAATTGATACCACTGCCTTAATATGTTTTGGAGAGAGTGCTCACTAATGTTTATAAAGATGTAATATAGCTAATATATATTGCATATAGTTTGTTTTTCATCTAATAAAATATTTTGTTTTGCAATATTTTGCCTTTTTTATTTGTTTCATTTCCATAACTGCTCCTTTCCTGCATGTAAAATCACTTGGTATGTATACTACAGCCTTGGTTGACATTGTTTAAATTAACACACCTTCTCACATCTTGCATGCAGTCAAATCTAAAGATCTGACACATCCATCACATCAATGTATAATTGCTTTTAATTACATTGATTTAAGATTGACAACATTAATATGAAGTAAAATGATCTTAAAATAACACGTTTTGATAGCAGCTTTGGAAGAATTTCTCTTACCTGAAATCCATTTTCTGATGGTATAAAATGGTCGTGGACTGGAAATAATTGGCATGAGTCAATGAAAAAAGGAAAAAAAACCCTCTGAGAATGTAAATGTTAAAATGGTGAAGTGCAAATACAACTTCTGTACATGGAAGTAGTATGTTGCCCATAGCAAACCAATTCTATACTTTGCATAAATGAAATAACAGTGAAATTATTTGAACATGTAGCATGTGATTACAGTAGAAAGCAATGGTTCTCATCACCTCGTAAATGGGGCCCGTGTCAAATTTAATAACACTAAACTACTCCTCTGTGATGCACAAGTTGTCACATGGTTGTATTGCCTGATAACACATTGTTCAGTTTCAAAGATCATCAGCGTTCTTAACACCATTTAGAATAAACTCTCCAAGAAACCTGTCATTGTCACTCCTCCATAATTTTCATCACCCAGTACGTTTCACCAAAAATCTTGGCATGTGTAACTTCTCTGATAAAGACGAAAATGTCATGTCTTCCTGTTATGTGGACGTTCTGCTTTTTGTCTTTGACATTTCTTAATCTTTTTTTAAACCTTTACTTTATCAACTATATATTTTGATGACATAGCCCATTATATTCAAAATTATGAATTTAGGTTATTAGAATTTCAGTAGATGTTTGGGAAAATAAAAATGCTTTCTAATAGATATATTTATATTTTATTAAGAAACTGTAAATTAAAATACTGAACAATTTAGCATTTGAGTTGACAGTTACACTAGAAACTGCTTCCTAAAGTGTAGGTGTTCTTAGAAGTAAAGCAATCAAAAAAATTTTCTTAGGAAAAGAACAAAAGTGCTTCAGTACATCCTTCATGAACGTCTTTTTCACATGGAAGAATCACATGAAAAATAGCTCAGTGAGATGTATCAAGTTTTGTCATATGCCAAATCTTTAAGGACTTGTTTCACAGAATAACAATGGAAGTATTTTTGTGTGATTACAAGAAAAGATTTTTTTTTTCCGTAGTAAGCCAGCATGTAGACACAAATGTGACTGACAATGTGAATGCTTCAGTAAAATCACAAATGCTTCTGGTAATCATGACAGTATTTTTTTGAGAGCAATTAAATTATTTTGGATGAAAATTAGGCTAGAGTAGAAGACACAACCATTTCTCTATAATTTAATGCAAGCAAATTCAGATGAGTTTAATGCAATAAAATAATTTTAAAAAAAATTTAAAATAGTAACTGAATTTGGACAAGAATTAAACTTCTGGTTTTGGATTACAACAGCTATGTCATTTAAGGTAATGCAAAAAGTTGTTTAAAATAGAGCCTATGAGGGAGAAAATGTATAGAGTACATTGTAATTTCAAATTAGGTTTAAGCTAGTTAATGAACAAGAGTTGCCATGCTTTGTAACTTGATTAAATGAATAGATGCAGCCTGCTTGCCATATCAATTAAAGCACCTCATTTTGTCATTTAGGAAATTGGGCAATGCATGGATGGTCATAGGAACTAAAATATTTGCAATAGCTCTCTTTCATTTTACTGCCAGAAACAGAAGCTCTTGTCGTCAGTGGCTCCTCTTGTAATATGGAGAGGAAATCTGATTTTACTCACTCGTCTTCCCATGGCCATAGAGAATTCAGAGTAAGACCCGGTGCCTTGGTTGCCCAGAGTCTTCAATCCAGTCATTTTCACAAGCACGTTAAAAATTAATTTAAGTAAAATCGCTTATTTATTGTTTTACTGTATTTCTGCTTTCTGAAGAAATAATAGGTTGGTGTTTTGAAGAAACACATGAAAGTCAAGTAGATGGGCTGGATAAGTTTTAGAAATACTATAGTTTTAGATAAATGGGAATTTAAAATTCTTAGTTTTGGCACAAAGAACATCATAGAGTAGTGCTGCCTTTCAACGTATGCAGACATCTTGGGTTGTGCAGTGAATAGGACTGGCGATTTTACATGCTGTAATAGAAAGGTTAACTGTAGAATAAACAGGGAGCAGATACACAGCTTTAATTTTATTGAGAAAAACTTCAGTGATAATACTGTTTCATGATGGATTTTAAATTTTTTTCTGCAGTTTCTTCTTCCTAAATTGTTCTTTGTTCCATGAAAGAAAGCAATAGTTAAATAAGGTTATAACCAACATAAAAAACTGCAGAGTTTTTTAGGGCTCCAGTCAGTTATTTGGCCAGCGTGCAAGGGTTCCCGCATCTGAGGAGTGTCGGTTAACTTTGCAGAAACTGTGTGTGCATGGAATCACTTGGAAACTAATGCCATTTTTGTGCTTAGCTAAAGTCAAAATCCTTCAAATATGGTGAAAGTAGGAGGAGATACCATACATTTGGAATGTGAATAGGAATCTGCCTTTTTAATGTACAAGTATGTTTTGTAGAGGTGGGAAATAAATGTTTACATATAATCACACGTGTTGTTTTTAAACAAAATCTTTCCTCAGGAGAGAGAACGAAGGTCGCCGGCATTTAATCTTCATATAACCACCTTCCCTGAACACAATGGAAGTGCACTTCAACTGTTCTGTCAACAGGAAGGAATAAAGGTATATGTAGAGCTTTAGTAACAGTTGGATGGCCAGGAACTTTTTTGGAATGACCAACCCAATATCCAAACGAATGGTTTGCCATCTTACTGTAGGGAAGAAAATCTGAAAAAATAAATATAGTAAGAAAAGATATTTTTAACTGGGGAAAGTGTTTCATAAGAATATGATCTGGTAGTCTGTCAGGAGTTCATCAATGAAAATGAAGGCTGGTCAATCAAGGTAATTTACATTTAGTCTAGGGTACTGCTGTAAAAACATTGCAGAGAGGAATGTGGATGTTGATGTGATTCATTGTCAGGCTTGCTACAGTACTTTGTTCTTGATATTAAATGTTTTCATCTAAGGTCAGAAATATGACATTCACCTATTATTTTACAGCCAATTTAGTGAAGCACCTATGCATTTTGTTTGTTGAATTAATACGCTTAGGTTATTTGCCTAGGCCAGGGCCTTGAAGCATGCGATGCCTGATCCAAAACTCATTCGAGTAGGTGAGACTCTATCTATCATTTTAGATCAAGCACAAGATAAACATTGGGATCTCACTTGGTTAGCTTCTGCTATGAGGAAGCAAGAATTACTCTTTTCACTTCTGTTCTCCCTTGTATAGGCTAGCTGTACAAATTGATTTGCATGCTGGTTTGCTTAAGACTGAATTCAGTCTTGCTTTGTTAGTAATGTTGCACAACAGGCCAGGGTAACTTTTCTACGAGTAATTGAAGCGGAATATCACTGTGTGTTATACTCCATGGCACTCACTAGTAATTTATGCTTGTATTTGTAATTGTGTTTACAAGTCCTCTTATAAAAAGCTTATTTCTATTCGGTGCCTTAGTAAGCACAATACTATCTGTAGTGGAAATAAACTGAAATTGTAGGCTGCGTATTGTTAGGGAGATGAGTAGTCTAAAAGGAAAAAAAAAGTTAAAACCCAATTGTTACCTACAGGTTTGCTTGGGTAGTCATTTCCCAAACTGCACCAAGAGTCATCAGTTAGCGTATTACCTTTCAAATAGAGCCTCCAAGGGATGCCAGTCCTGCTTTTTAGCTTATCTATTATTCTAATTTGCATGTTGGCTGTAGCAGGTACAGCTTACCAGGACCTAGAATTCATATTTTTTCCATTGTCTTCTGTTGCATTCCTAAACAGAGGTGTTTTTTTCAATTTGTCTTTCAGTTCACTTACGTGGAAGCAGGGACAGTCACCTAATATGGGCATACTGAAATTGTTGACTTTTTATATGTTTTCAGTGTCTTTCGAAATTGTTAGCCATCAGTAGCAAATCAGATTCTAGAATGACCGTTTCTAAATCTTCCTATATGCTTCATTGTGGAAATAAATGAATTAGAATGAGTATTTCTGGCTCAATAGGTGCAAGAACTTGCATATCTTACTGAATGCCATTCTTCACTAGTGTAACTGATCAGCTAAAGAAGTTTCCATTCAACATTGTCAATGCTGATCATAATTAATAGTTTTGGTTTTAATACCGATCCATACACAAGTGTGTATTAAGCTCCGCACCATTCTAAAATTACTGATGTGCAGTGTTTAACAGCTAAAGTAACATTTGGAGACACTGCTGAAGTGTTTCGGGGGAGAGAGAACAGAGGGAGGGGACTTCTCAGGATAGACCAACTTGAACACCACACATTATTCCTTCTTTAGAGCCAGGATGGACTAATTTGTAGATTCTCTCCCACATTTGTGTCTAGTCTTCAGGAAATCTTTCATTTCTTATTAAGCCTTCCTCTCTGGAGTCTGTTGGGTACAGAATCATGAGCAAATATATTCTGGTGTAGCTATGTAATTTGCAAGCATAGCTAATTTAGCTTTAAAAAGTTTTAAAGATTGAGCATCCTGACTACCTACATAATGCAGTTGCACAACACATAGATGTAAACCAGCACGTTACGTACTGTAATGAAACTAGTGAGCCAAGACACAGCCCTGTGAAACGTTTGCCTCTTCTAAGAAGTGCTGAATAGGAGTAGAAGTTGAGGGTGCCAGCATTTAACAAGGCTGTCTTGCTTTGTGCATGTGTATTAAGCACTTTGGACTAACATGAACTGGTCTTTACCCATGCTCTCAAGCCTTTCTACCTTCGAATAGCACAGCTGCATACAAGCTGTCAATGGGAATGATCCCTGGTCCACGTTAACATGTGGACCATACTTGGGATAGTTCAGGAGAATATGATTACTGAAGGTTAAACAGTTCCATGAACCTTTCCAACAACTTTTTAAAGTAGACAATAGAGTTCTGGGGCCTAGGAATGGTCCCTGGCACTGTGTAAAATATAGACATCGTGTGAATTTATTCCTCTCTTCTTTTGTATCAGAGGACTGTTTTTCTTGATTTCAGTGCCTGGGCCTTAATAAGGATGGCTTGTTCGCTGCTTTTTCTGGATCTGGGGGCTGACTGGCAGAGAAACATGGCTTTCTACTCACAAAGGCTGTGAGCTGATAGTGTTCGGAGGAGCGTGTTCAGCCCACTGTGCATATTCCTTTCTGCCACTGTAAGGCTGATTTGAAACTCCACTCTTTTGTTTAACAAAGAAAATAAAACCCAAACCACCCAACAAACCTTCTTGGCAATTATTTTGTTCATGCTCTCTGTCCTTTTAACTTCTGTAGCTTGATGTGCTTGATGCTCCACTCAAAAAAACCCAGAAGAAAACCAGTCCTTTAAGCTTGTTTATCGGTTTTGATCTTTCATCTGTGTACATCAGCAGGGTGATAAATGTGAATGGTACAGGAACATTCTGCCCTCATACACAGACATCCAGGCTGCTTGCTATAATGAAGAGTAACATTTGGTTTTGTCTCTGAAAGTATCAATCACACTTTTGTAATTGTGATGCAAAACTAAGGTTTCACTTACTTACATTTCAGGTCTTTTCGCATGCAGAAGTGAATAAAGAGTACATAAAATGTATCATATAAAAACTGTTTCTCACCTGCTTTATAAAAAATAAGTGTTGAACATCTTTTTCAGGATGTGAATATATCTGAACTTATGAAGAAGCTAGATATTCTTGGAGATAATGGGGTAACAAATTTTTGATTTCAAATATACCTCTAGTTTTATGGTTATTTTAAAGCAGGGTTTTTTTTTCCCACAGCAGAAAATAACATTCAAGAAAATACACAGGGTGATTTTTATATGCCTATATTTGCATGAACAATATGAATGGTTAGGTACTACTTTTACAAATTTAGAAGAAAATCTTTCAGTTAAACTGATGTTAGTGAAAAGTGTATTTTCTCAAGATAGGATTTGATCTTGGCTGAATGACATGGAAAAAAGGCACTGTAGTAGCAGAGGGAAAAGATATAAAACAGGCTAGGGGAGAAAAATAAGGAAGACAAAGCCAGTCCAAGTTATTCCTGAATTTTTCCTCTTGAGTAGCAATAGTAGCACCTACTACTGTGAAGGATGCCTCTGCCAGGAATGGATTTTCTGGGAGAAAGGGCAAAGATAACTGGTTCCCTTTCTTCGCCTGTGTTGCCAAATACAGTACAAAATCTTGGTCATGCAGTTGGGGCACAAACATCCACGGAGCTGCGTCGAGTTTATAGGTAGCTGTAACAGTTTGAGGTCTTTATAATACTAGTTTTAAGCTCTAGATTAACTTTTTATGTTGAAAGTTCTGTGGAGGTTTCTATGGTACTTGCTCTTTCTTTGCATTGTTTTCGTTAATGGGAAATCTAGCTCTGAAGTGCATGAGGGGGAGATTCACTTGCTGCAGGGCTATAGTGCAGTGAACTGGCATTTTTCTGGCTAGAAAAAAAAAAAGACATTTCAAAATCTCTGACAGAAACCACTTAATTTTCATTGAATAATGAACTGTTGCAAAGGTGTTGTGGGAGTGGTGTACTGAAATAGAGTGGAGACTAAGTACCCTTGGTTTAGCTTTCAATACTTTCAACCATTTGGGATCCTTTCTGGTCATGTTTATAGAATCCTAAATGTTATAGCTGATTTATTCCCTACAGTATAATTAAAATTTATTGCTTGTGTTAAAGGATGGATTTCCAATCCAATTTAAAATGCATCTTTTTGTATTTTAGAATTTGAGAAATGAAGAACAGGTTGCAATAATCCAAGCTGGGACTGTGCTTTCCCTCTGTGAAAAGGTAGAATTCAGTAAAGATTTTTCTCTGCCTAAAGACTGACCATGTCTTCTAAAATATCACATAACTTTGTCAGGGAAGCATGGCTTTTCTGTTCAGGTCGTCTGGATTGGAGCATGTATTCACCTTTATATGACTGTGATGGCTTGAGGTAAAATAAAACTTACAAAATAAATCCAATTTAAAAATAAAAACATGCTTTGGAGATATTCCCTTAGAATGAAGTACTAAAAAGCCACTTAACAAAAGAGACTTCATTCTCAGATGTGCCAGTGTTCTCAGCTCTCTGGGAACAGAGTGCTGTGAAGTCCTCTGCAAGTCATACCACTGTGGTCCTCATTTCTGTGTACGACCGAAAAAGCTCTGAGTGGTCTGTGGTCCTTTTCTCTGTAAGTTAGTGGGCATAGATAGTGAAAAAGTAGTTTGTACAAGATAGGTAATCAGTCAGGTCACTCAGTTCTGCATGACTAGTTCTTTACTTCTCCAATTACAGAGAGAATATAATCTGTATATGAATAAAGATGACATTTAGAACTAAGAAAGACTCACCTTTTTCTCTGAAGAAGCTTTGCCCATCCTTTTCATAGTTTTCTATTAAATCTTTCATAAATGCATTTTTGAAATTCAGAATCAGAACTTTAAAATTAAAATTTGAGCATTTTGTAATAATTGCTTTAATTCGTAGAATCTTGATAATCTGCTTATCTAAATATCTTAATGTAGATAATCTAGATTAGGTGATTTAATAAGCATTGATTTAAGTGAGTAATTGCTACAAGCAAAATAAAAATGAGGAAAAGTGCTAAAATCCCTATGCTTTTCATTGTGTTATAGCATTAAAAAGAGGAGGTGACGATCATAGCCCTTTACATCCAATAAGGAAAGTGGAAGAACCCCAGTACACACGGCTAAGATAGAGAGCAAAACTGGCCAGACTTTAGGGACTGGGCTGGGTTATTATTGCTCAAGTAAATTAGTGCTTGTGCAGAAAGTGCCACTGGAATTACGGAGCTTGTTTAATTTGTGTCAGTGGTGCAGAATAGAACATACACTTTGTTATCTATAAATTATTTCCATTAGCAACTGATCACAGCAATAAGGGATTGGAAGCTTTGTCAACTGAAATAATTCCTTAAATGTATAGAAACATACAATTACAATGGAGAATTTATTTATTTATTTATGCTAAAGTTGGTCTATAATTTCATTTCACCTTTTTTTTTTCTTTTTTTGACAAAAGTTTCTAGTTTGCCTTAATGGATTTTTTTTTTTGTGGTCTTACCAGGTAATTGAACACTCCATCAGAAAGATGGAGATTTTAGTTTTGTCTTGTATAGGTAAATAGACTGCATTTAAAGAGTGAGATGAAAATAGCTCATGTTGTCTATGGACTCTATCCATCCTATATCATTTTAGTGAAGTGCCTCACAATAACCTAGTAAGTACAAGCTGATAGCAAATTGAATCAAGAGGGTACTCTGAGAAGCATGAAATCTCTTCTTCTTTTTCATAGTGCACGTTTGAGGTACAGGCTAATCAAGTGAGTCCAATTTTCTCTATCAGAGAAGGCACTATCCATGTCCAAAGTTTACTAAGACAAAGAATAACAGAAAATAGTCTTATGCTGTCCTTAACAAAACAAACATGATACCACGTTTCATAATATTTTATGCTGTGTTTAACAGCAGAGGCAAAATCAGTCAAAATCTGATAAGGAAGATTGGCTGATTGTTTTAACATAAGTTTGCTTGGGTGCATATATTGAATTTAGATTAAAGGAAATTTAAAGCAACTCCACTGCCTTCTCCAGTGTAATGTAACCATCTCAGATGTCCCTCTGAATAAGGACCAGACAGCTTCCCATGTGCATTCCTATAGTTCCCTAATTACAAGAAACTATCATATATAATCATCTCACAATGGGATCTTTTGGTAGAGAAGTGGTACTACAGACATAGATGTTGTGCTAGTTATAGTCACATGTGCTAATTAATCACACTCAGTGTTTATTTAGATCAAATCTGTTATACTCGGTCACTATAAGTGATCTTTTGGAAAGTTTCTGGGTTCTGTTGGCACAATTCCAGAAGCTTATTTTGAATGCTACAACTGATTACGATTCCTAAATATGTGGTTGTCTCTTCCGTGTCTCTTGGTTCCAGAAAGGCTTACAGGCATAGGAAGACCAGAATCAACATTTAGTTTTACATATCATTCATACCTTCAAAAAAATTAGACCTCTAATTTTTGCAAATAACCCTTCATTTGCAAATATTGAGGGTAGCTGTGAGAGATGCTGAGGACTTCCCATTTCTATTGATTTCAAGGGTTCAGAATGCTCACTGTCTTGCCGAATCCTTTATCAGCAGTAAGACTTGCCTTAGGAATATCTTCAGTCTGTCACCTTCGAAATGAAGAAAACAAAGATGATGAAAATAGAATCACTAGGGAATACAGTGTTCCTGTTCACTTTTTCCAGCCCTGTAAAAAGCTAAACCTACTAAGTAGATAAAACAAGTTTCCATTTTTCCACCAGTCTCTTAAATAGTGGAAGGTCCAAAAGGATGAAGTAATGAATTCACATTTTGCTTATTTGTAAACTTATGTTTGCAAATTTCCTATCTAAATCTTTGGAAAAAAATGGATATGTCATTAATTCCTTTGAGTCTGAGCCCCAGTGAATTCACCAAAACCCTAAATTAAAAAAGTTAATGTGTAATGCTTACCAAAAGAATTAAAGTAAATGGGAGTAATCTAGTGTTAGTAAGCAAAGCATTTGAGGAAAGTGATAAATCATCAGCGGCAAAGCTACAGTTGGTCTACAAAAGAAGCTACAAAAAGCATTAGTCTTAACTATACTCTCTGTAAGCTAGTCATTGATCCTTATTGTCATTTCCTTATTGGAAATAAGGAAAATAAGGAAATGAAATAAAACAATTCACAACTGAGCATTCCCATCCATTCCAATAAACATGCTGAATATTAATATAATCCTGGTGACAGTTAGTAATTAAGCAAGAACCTTCTATCCATGTATTTAGCTATTACAATATGTAATTTTACCTTTGGAATGCAGTAGCCATTCTTCTTAATTCTGTTTTGTTTATCACCAGAATAGTAAGGGATTCATGGTAGCAACCGCATGAACTTCCACCTGTCTGTCCGTTTTATTGTTCCCTCTACATTACCAATGTTTTAGAAATGAGCCTCTTCCCACAAAGGCTGCAGCAAACTGTGCAAAATAAAGGACTGAGTTTGCCACCTTGTTTTTTGTTTAAATTGCCATCTGGAGAAATGCAGGGCTGGTGCCCTGAAATCATATGATGGTTTTGCAAATCAGGCCAACAAGCATTGGGTATATCAAGTTGCAAACAATCAGGTTAATTTTGCATTCTTCACCCAAGTCTATTTTGTATCTTGAACTTTACAGGGGGAGAAAAACTTTATTTATTGTAGGAAAACAGCCTCCACTTGTTAATCTTTAGTATATTTCTATAGTCCTCCATTCTGCCTATGTTTTCACAACCTGTTTATTCATGTGTAACCTCAAAGTGATTCGGTAGTAAGGGGGAAGCATATGCCTGGGAGTGTTGGCAACAAACTTGCAAAATGTTTGGTGCAAATTTTTCAAAATCTCTGTTTTTTTCATTTTTTATTTTTTCCTCTTCACACTGCTATGTGAACGTAGTGGTTAAAACAGATAGAGGGGACAGAAGCTGCACTGACACAGAAGATGTTAGACCTGGAGAATGAAAAGGTAAGGAACAATAACTAAAAATATAATTCATTTAGGTAAAACTCATCTCAAGGGAATGTGTATAAACTTCATCACAGGTTGATTTGCTGCCTTTCTCTGCTTAACAAGGATTGCTTCATGATAAAATTGGCAAGAGGTTTCTAGAACTATGGGGTGAGAAGGAACTGTCAAAGCTATGTAGAACAAAACCAGCAAAATACATACAAATTAGGACACGAAGGCATAACTTTACAGAGGATATTAACGAAACAGTGTGAAATTGTCTTTGTGCTTTCTCTGTGTATTAATTTGTCTGGCAACAGCATCGTCTTTTTAATCTTGGGGTCATTATAGTAGAATTGTCAAGGATATTCCTTCGCTCTCTGGTATTCAGCTTCTGGACAAGACCTCTTACTCCAGATGACCTTTCTTGCCCTGAGGTCTTCACGCTTAAAGACAGAATGTTTTCTCAAAAGCAGTTCTGTCTTGCATAACAAACAGTGCTATACTGACCTTATTTTTCAATATATTGAACAGAGTTTTGGAATGAGTGTTTGGTTTTATTGGTTTACCATGCATGCTGTGCTTCTCATCTTCAAATGGCTTTACAAACATGGATTAATCCTCGCCACACCTTTTACAGGTAGATAACTAATCAGCATTACATTCCTCTCAAAGAATGGGAAACCGAGACAGGGAGGTTAAGCGATTTGCCCAGGGCCACTGAAGAAGTATGTATTTGGGCCACAATTAAAAAAAGAAGTGCTCAGACTATGTTCTCTGTTGAGTGTAGCCTATCATACTGGTTGTACTTTAACATAGGTATGATCCTTTCCACATTTAGTATTTCTTTATTTTTAACTCTAGTTATAAAAGAACGCAAAGGTTTTGGAGAGGGAAAGTGCCCACAAATACTAGATTCTTTTATAAAAAGAATTGGAAAACAATAGTTTCTTTCTAACTTGGTTTATTATCTTCCCACTTACTATCTGTGATGTTTTCAAGTCTTACTCTGGATAGGCCTGTATCGATTTGTTTAGCATAGCAATCTAAGAGTCTGCATTGCCTATGATTGACTGAACTGTGAAATGAGTTTAGAAACAATATTCTGGCGTGACACTTTCAGAAGGGCTGAGCACTCATTTAGTTGTCCTTGGAACCCATGTTAAGAGTTTGAGAGCCTATTCTTGTTTCCTTCCCTCTTGCTTTTTGTGGCCAGCTTTTACAACAGCTTTTGGAGAAGTAACATGATTAGGGCAGCTGCATTGCTATTCTGGGATCTGTTGGTAGCTCTGACTCTCCCTATCATCTTGGGCAAGTCAGTCTACTTCTCTGGTGTCAGCCACTTGTACGCACATTCAGACCAGGCCTGTCCTTTACTATGCGTTACACAGTGCACGGTGGTATTGCATCTTGTACAACAGCCATGCAGCTGTTGCTGTAATCCACATAAGAAAATAATGCCACCTGGGTAGTCAAGGTGGGATTCAGTTGCATCTGGAGATGTCCACAAGGGGCTGAGAAATATGTCCTGCGGGACCTGTTGGAGACCCCTGCCCTTCTGGACCAGCAGCTGAATAGCATAACCTAAAATGGGTAACTGAATTCCAGGCCCAGGATCAAACTCTGACTTAAACTTTGGTTCTACTTTCAATATTAATTCACAGGTAATTAAAAGAACTCCAAGTTTACAAAAACCTGAATAATAAATATTATAGTTCTTATATAGAGAACAAATAGCAAATTATTCCTCTGAGTCCTCTAATATTGGTCTTGTATGTTGCTGCTGTCACCAATCATGAGTTGTTTTTAACAAGCAGGAGGTCATCTGTAGTCATTTTATGCTCTGAGCCCCTACCAAGCATTAATTTGCTGATCAGAATGGATTTGTTTTAAACCAGATGTTTGGAGTGAGAATTCGTCCTCATGGTTCATGCTTAGGCAAATTCTATGCCAGTGCTACACTGACAGCTGACAGAAAAATTGTTGGAAATCCACATATATGTCTGAAGGTAAAATTCGGCCAAATAAGTGACTTTGGGGCAATCCCATATCCAATAAAACTAACCGGACCAGCAACATTTGATTTTATTTTTTTATACTGTTAATAAAAGCTACAATCAATCATCTTAAGAACCCTATATATTTAATTTGGCATTTATTCTATATGTTGCGGAAATGTAAGAGTTTGTTGAATAGAAAAAAGAATGATGAAAAATATTAAATTCAATCAAAGGGCCTCTCTGCTTTCTGGACTACTACTTATTTTTTTGAGCATGACAACCTGCCTTGAAAGCAAGCTAATAAAATCAAGTAACTATTTTAACTTCTACTTACTACCATCCAAAACACTCTAAAGGCATGTTTTGCAAGAGCACTGTCACCAGTCAGTTCTCACTTGACTGTTCAGACAATCATTCACATGTCCACAATTTTCCTGCAACATCATGCTTTTGGATACTGAGTTCCACTGAAATCCCAGCCTGTGTTACAACTGCAAGGTTTTGCTTCTGTGAAAGTTGGTGAGTTTGATTTTAAAAACAAAAGCAAAAAATCCCTGTAAATCCTGGGTATGTTGAAAACTTCTTCAGCTCTTCAGCTAAAGTCACTTAACCTCTCTGGGCATCACTTTACCCATTTCAAATTGGCTTCCTACCTTTACAAGTTGAGAACTGAGCTTTTACTTCTGCTTCACTAATGCAGCAGGAAATGTTGCTGCAGAACCCAGCTAGCGCCCTGCGTGTTCTGGCTTTGTGCCCAGAAGACCAGGCTAGAGAACACAGATTACGGCTTCCCCATGATTTCCTTAAGGGTGCGCATTGGATATTTTCGGAGAAGCAGTAAAGTGCCCTTGTGTTTCTTGCTTTCCTCTCTTGGCCTGCCCTGTGCAAGTAATGACTGTTGGACCACATGCATGCACATTCCCATTCACCTTTCAGCCTGTGTGTGCGCTTCTGTCAGGTCAAGGCAGGTTTGTACACTGGTGTAGAGGTCTATAGGTACAACTCATTAATATGGTACACGTATTTTAAGTGCTAATATTGTAAATTTGATATTCCAAATATCCTTAGGATGAATGTGGTCATTGGCTATAGATTTTCTTTGCTTTCAAGTGGAAAGCTCACATAAAAATGATGGCATTTATGATTCTTTATGAATTAGGATAAAGAACAATCACTCCCTTGTTTTTATTATTGCTCAGGACCTGTTCAGTAAGCAGAAGGGTTATTTAGAGGAAGAACTCGACTACAGGAAGCAAGCTCTGGACCAGGCATACATGGTAGGAAAAGATCAGTCATTAAATTTTCATGTTTGAACAAATTTGATAAAATAAAGTGTTTTTTTTTCTTTTATTTATAAATAGGGTTCTTTTTTAATTGATTTATTTTTCTGCCAAACTAGGGAATCAAATACTACTTAAATGGAGACTTAGGAAATGGATTATAGTATTTAGAAGTGTAATGTTTTTGCATTGCATTTTTTATTCTAAAATATGTGAACATCTTGTTAGTACATCTGGAATAGGAAGAGCTGGTCTATGTGTGCACAAAATTATCACTAGTAAAATACACCAGAAATTACTTTAGAACTTTTCCAATTTTGCTTTTTCCTAAGCATTTGCAAATATTACTGCTGCTAACCTATCCCAAGCTGGGAATACCTGTTCTTCCTATGCAATTCCTTCCTGTGCTGTCCTATCCAACCTTACCTCTCCTAGTTTTCAAAAGGGAAGCTGCAACCTTGCCTTCTCTCAGGCTAAGTAACAATTAGGAATTATCTAGGAATTGGTAAAACTGCACACGCAACTTTGTTAATAGTGAGACTTCAGGGAATCAAAATATAATGGCCTGAAGAATTATTTATACATTGTAAATATTTCTTAGGTGGAAAATCTTTTCAGAAAAGAAGCAAGGTATAGTGCTCAGATCAGACAACAGATAAAAGCAAGCAGGCTCTATTTCTGGCACTGTGACCTTGGGCAAGCCATTTAACCTCTCTGTGCAGCTCTTTATGCATCACTAATATGGATAGAATTACCTACCTCACAAAGGTGTTATGAGGGCTAAAGGGATGTTGTCAGATGCTCTTGATCAAATATTGTCAGTCTGGATGCTGGTTTTTAATAGGATCACACTAACCCCAGTAATCAGGGAAACACTGCCATGATTCCTTTCTTTCTTTCCTCTTGGGAATACAGTTCTCCATATGAATGTAAAGTTCTCCTGTGCTCTCTGCTTTGCAAAGTACTGCAGTTTTGGTCAGTGCATGAGAATCTGGTTAGGAATCTGGCAAATGGCAAGAGACTTAGTGTATGCAAGCGTACAAGCGTTCCTCTCTTCATTGCTTATGGCAACTTGAACTAAGCCAGTGACATAGACTTTGAGCAATGGATGGCAGGACAGTAGGGCCAGAGAGAGGGAGACAGTAAGATTTCAGTTCTCCCTGTGGGCTTTTTATTTTATAGGATGGCTTAACAATTCAGTTGCAGTTGGAGGGAATCTGTTAGCTTGCATTCATTTAATGTTGAGCGTCAGAGGTTGGGGTTTTGTATTGAGCACAGACCTATCATCTGAATCTTTCTTATAAATAGAAAAAATCAATCGTTTACTAGAATGGGAAGCATTGCCTGGGTGTAAATCAGTACTGGGAGGCTACATGCACTCTGTGTGGAATGCTCCTCACTGCTCACGACTGCCGCTTTCTGTCTACCTGTCTGTGTTCGTCCTTCCCTGCTGCCTAAGGCTTTGCTTGCTAGCCTTCTCCTCTAGCTGTTTGTGGGTCGTTTGCTTGCTGGATTCAAATGGCAGCCTGTCTGTATGTGATTTGGGTTGCATTAGAAAATCCAGGAGCTGGAAGCCACGCTGTATAATGCCCTGCAGCAGGATCCAGGAAGGCGGGCAAGTGAGTCGCTGACCGAAGCCCAGAGGGAGGATTTGCGAGCTGCAGTGGAGAAGGTGCGGCGGCAGATCCTGAGGCAAAGCCGTGAGTTTGACAGCCAGATCTTGCACGAGCGAATGGAGCTGCTGCAGCAGGCACAGCAGGTAATCCTGGTTCTCTCTCCTCCCCCTTGTTGGTGTTACCTCTGTGGTTGCCGCCACTGCCCATACAACAGCATCGCTTCACCCTCACCTCGTTGAGTTACACTTAAGTCTACTCTTTGTATTGCTCCCGTGTCAAGGAGAGGAGCAGTGTTAGGACCTGGTTGCGCTGGGCATGGTACGCACACAAATCCAGTCACTGTCTCACTACAAGGTCCTGTTGCACAATCTGTTTCATGTGTGTACAACCACACAGTTTTCCACAGGACTCCAAGGGGAGCTTGTTGCAAGTTTAAGGCCTAAATTAGAAAAAGCCGGAATGGAAGGTTGTAAGAGTGTAACATTATGAAAAGAGGAAAGGCAGAAGCAGTAGTTACAGGAATCAAATTTTTTTTTATTTTTCACCCCTTCTATTTCTTTTAGCTATTTGTGAAATCTTTTAAAATTAAATAAAAAAAAAAAAAAAGAAGAAGAAGTCATAGGAAGTCTTTTAAGAGGCCATTTACAAGCCTTCATGCCTTTAAATTAGTTCAGAAAAGACTTGTCTGTCTAAGCCAATTCCTTAAGGACAAATACTGACAACTTGAATTCAGGCAAGTTCCTGGCATGTGTGGTAATTATTTTCCGAAGAATCATTTGGTAGGTTAGCTGGTTTTTCTGTGCAAATATTCAGGGAAAGAAGAGAGCTGTGTGTGTCAGGGTTTTTTTGGAATAATTGTTCCTAGGGATTTTGGTTCTTTTTTATAGTAACCTCCAGAATGTGCAGCCAGATGTCTTAGATATTGAGAACTGCCCTCCAGTTGCTCTAGCTACTTTCTGTGCAAATCTGGAATCACATATTGTAAACGCCAAACTGTGTTATGCAGATGTGTTCAGGACGTTGTTGCTTTCTCAGACGCTGGTTACTGGGGCAAGGACTGCATTTTGTTTAGTCCAAGCCTCTCTCTGTTCAGGTTGGCTTTGTAGATGAATATAGACCACAACTGATGTAATGTACTGACCTGGCACTGTTGTGTTCATCTCCTGTCATCCTGCAGTGATGAGAAGTGCTTATGGTGCCAGTGTTAGAGCTGAGCTCTAGAAGTCTTCCTAGAAGTCTCCTTTCTCTTACTCCTTCACTGTGTTCCCTTGGTTTGGAACATGTAACATTGAGATCAGGAGATGAATTTTTTTAATGGGTGTCAGATCAGCAATGGTGTACAAAAAGCTGGAGAAGGTAGGCACCAGCTTGTGCTAAAAGTGTCAGAAAGAGAGAGTAGAGTAAATATATGAAATTTGGTAAATAAGGGTGGAGCCAGAAGTAATTAGCTTAATGTTATTAGTGTAGCTGAAAATAAGTGAGGATGGGTTGGGTTTTGCCAGTCTCTTAGACAGTCCAATTTCCTAGCCAGGTATCAGGGGGTTAATTTGGACTATGTTCCATTTGGTCCCATGGACTGCTCACTACCAGTCAGAGCACCTTAGGTGCACATCTGGAGCACATCTTCAGCTGAGTACAGTTCATGTATTCACAGATTGCTCCACAACATAAAGTTAAACATGATAAATGTGGAAGAAAACTTCGCTCCTGCTCTGAACAAAAATGCTAGCGTAAACATCATTAGCCATGGATGTTTATGTACCTGTCTCCAGATCCATTTTATACTGTGTCCTTAGGGTTTCGTGTTGTGCCCATCTCATTAGACGTGTTAATGTTACAGCCCTGCAGGACGCATTAAACTGAATTCTACTGCTTAATAAGGAGCTAAGTATTTTAGTCATCTATTTTTAGCCCCCCCTAGTAGACAGGAAAAACAAAGGCAAAGATGGTAATTAATTTGCATGGGGTATGGGAGATGAAAAGATTCCATTTGAAATCCTTTGCTCAGTTTCTTCTTCTCAGTTGTTTTCTTCTTGAAGGTTGTATTTGTGGATACTTATGGGACCAGTGGTCAACACTGATAAGCTAGTAGTTGTATGAAAATGTCCATGGCTTAAAAACAAACAAACAAAAACCCCTAGAACGGATCAGTAGTGTCACAGGGCCAGTTCTCATAGGATTACATACATCTACACTAGCAGATGACAGCAGCTGAAATGCTACAAAAATGAGAGCATACCTGTGTAGACAGAGTCCCAAGGTATGGATGAAGCTGCTCTAAGTATAGTACGTCCCTAGATGCTACTTTAAATTAATCCCCTCTTTTCTTTTGCTGACAATGTGGCATTAGTAAGCACCCATTACACTTTATTCTGGCAAAACTGTAGTCTAGACCTCGTCATATTTTTACAGTCTGCAGTGGCTTTACAGTATGTACCACCCTTCTTATTCTGCTGAAGTGGAGGTTATGGAGAATGATACGACAGCATGATGGACCTGCAAGACTTAACACAGAATGTCCTTGTTGCAAACACTCTCATACTTTCCCTGAAATGGAAACCATGTGTTAAAGACTCCAAATTCTCTGAAACTCTGGAAGTTTGATCCCTTCCAGAAGACCTGTTTCTTTGCTTCCATTACCTTCTGGTCTGCCCGATACAAGGGCTTCAAAAGAACAACTCTGCTTATCCTGGCAGGCTGGCTACAACCTTCTCTGAGTCAGAGTTTCTGTGTCAGACATACAGAGTGGGGGTCCAAGAAGATCTGATGATGGAAAGGGAGGAGTTCTCTCTTTCTGCATGTGAATGATCCTTGACCATACTGCACGTTGCAGCAGTGGCAAGGCACGTGATGAACGCTACAGGTAGGTCTGCAGGGTTTCATTATAGGTGAACTGCTTCATGCAGGGACTTTGAGGATTTAGCTTGTGAGATGCTAAATGAGCTGGGGAATGTACCGTCGGTGGAATGTGCTGTCTGAAAGGGACAGGGACGTGCATAAGAAAGAGGGTAAACTGTTGTCCAGTTGTGAGCCTGTGCAGCTTTATGTGTGCTTCTTTGTCCAGATATAAAGCCTTAGTTCTTAGCCACTGGGTATTGACTTTGTTCCAGTGAAATAAATATATTTTAGGATGTTAGGCTCTGTTTTACATTGGTAGGTCTGTTCATCTTGGGCATGTATAGCCCCACATTATTATTGTTCATTAGTATATAAATGGAACCTTCATGTATACCTATGGTGTATTAAGGAAACCAGGCCTCTGTGGAGCCAAATTAGACAGACTGTGTGATTAGATCTGCTTGCTAAGGCATACAACGCTTTCATTAACCCAGAGTGCAACATGCGGGTCTGGGGGACAGATCCTCAGCCGAAGCATATTAACAGAATTCCCTTTAAGTCAGAGAAGGTGCTTTGATCTACACCATCCTCTCTATTTGGAGGAGGCAAAATATGTTAATTAAAAATCTGTCATGAGCAGCTTGTGATATTTGCTTCTAGCCATAGGGTATGTGCAGTTCAACTGCCGTTCCTGCATATATTGCCATCAAAAACATCTCATTGTGCTACACTATTATTGTAAGCTTTTGTCAATCAGTGTCTGGGTTTTTTTTAGCAGGACTTCATTTAAAAGTAACATTTGTGCTCTAGTCAGTGCAGTGGCATGACTTTTGTGCATTTTGGAAAATATGAAGATCATTACTAGCAGGTTCTGTTAAGAAGGGTAACTTTTTATATATATCTAACATGCTAAGCCATTTCTAGAGAGAAAGAAAAATGTGTTGGTGTAGCTATAAAAACCATCTCTGAGAAAGAATATTTCAAACGGAGCAATACAACATGTTTCTGAAGTAGTGATATTAACTTCTTAATTAAGCAAACTCAAAAAAAAAAAAAAAACAAACCCAACACAAAAAGTCCACACAGCATCATGGTTAGATTGCCTTAAAAATATATTGTGATTGTGTTATCTACTGAAATGAATAAATATTTAAGGATCAAATTATGCTTTATATAAACCAAATGGGATCTAACTTGAAATATATTCCTGTTGGTTTGACTGTAGCTGCTTCTGGAGTAAGAAACTGTAGAAAGTCACCAGAATCTAATTAGGATAGATTAATTCAAATTGCACTGTTGGCAGTATTCAAACATGAAGAAAATATATAATAGCAATAGAATTTATTCCAATTTCATTTTAAATTATTTTAAATACAAAGAGAAGCTAGAAAATCCTTGAAGAACAGCAGATTGACACACACTCAGTTCCAAAAATGATTGCTGCCAATCATAAAGTATATGAGAGACAGATTTTATTAATGTAATCCAATAATTTCCCAGAGTAGTCTTATTTTTGTATAAAATGGTAAGAAAAAATGAATAGAAAAGATGTGTTAGTTCATTGTGTCATCAAAAAGTGTGAAACTTTTTTTTCTCTGAGTTGCACTGTAGTACTGTACTAAGCTGGGGGTGTTTTATTCTAACCTGGGTGAGAATACTCTTGGGTGCAGCTCAGTTTTACAGCGTAAAACAAACCATCGTGTCAGATCTAGACCTGAATATAATACATATATGGAATGCTGAAGGCATCCAAATTCCAACTCTAAATAGTTGGAATATAGCTGTAAATTTTTTAACTATGTTTTCTGTAAACTATAGCATTTACTCCTATGACCAGGTTGGATTATTGGTAATAAAAGCAGAAATTGCCACTTTATTTGCACGTTTTACTAGAAGAAGGCATAGGAAAATCCTTTAGGACAAAACAGGTATAACGTAAAACTGACCTCTGTATGTCACTGCCATAGAGAAGGATTCACTGCAAATGCAATACCTCAGGCACTTTTTTTCATGGACACCAAGGAAAAGTCAGAAGCAGTGACGTTTTTTTTCATCCTGAAATGTCAAAACATAAATATAGCTTGAAATCGAGAAATACCAAACTAATTTCCTTCACTAAGTTTCTTCTTTCCTTTTTTTTCTGACCAGAAGAGCCAAGTTCTTACTGCTTAAACAAATCTATAGTGGATGCCATTCCTCCATGAGTTCTCCTTGATCTCTTGTGGGGAGGACACCTTTTTCACGCTGGGAGTTTGTTTACAAATCCATAGGGTTGGATGTCACCATATCTACAAGATCATATTGG